AGGATATGTTTTGTCTCCTAATCCCTGGGAGTGTTAAGCCAGAGAGCAATTCGGTGTGCTATACACATTATCCTTAAAATAGCTTGAATAGATCATGATAAGGGGAAAAGGAATCGAATCATCTCTATCTGGTCACCCCCTCATGTATTACCTGAAGCCTCCCATTTCACCTGTCTTACACCTGGATTACATCCTGTCATTAAGATAACATGCTCTACCTTGTCATCAGGGAGATAACTTGAGTGTTGGTGATTAAGATTATGTACAGAGTGTCCCTGACATGCAATACCTACCACTCCTCACACTGTGGTGCAGCTTTGATTCCAGTTGAAGCACTTCTTTTTGTGCTTTGGTCTATATTTTAAGTTTGGCTCAAGATAATGACTTGCACTCTTTTAAATGAGAAGATAGCTTTAGTGGTAGCAATCCAGATAAAGGGGTGGTGGTATGGTTCTTTGGTCATGTAATCTGTTAGACAGAGCCATGATCAAGTGATGTTCTGATTTATTACAAGGGTCAGGTATGAATGGCCTCTCATAGTGATTATGTACAGCTTGGAGATAGGGCTGAATGATAAGACTAAGTACCCACTAGTAAGACTTGTAGATGGGATAAGATAAGTGCCACATTATATGAAATGATGGATTTAGTGTATCTTGATGATGCATATTATGTTTCAAGACTTAACTTCACTTGAAATTAGTCATGTAAAGTTATGATATATGACTGTATAAGGGGAAAGAATTCTGAAAACAACATTTGAAGGGATTTATGTAAAATGGCTGTTGAAGAGGCCTAAGTTTGATATAAAGCAACTGAAATACGGAAATTCTGCACATTCTGGATAACAAAAAGTCTCAGATTGGAGAACAATCATGGCAATAATCTCCCCTCTTCCTCTCACACATTGGACACAAATGCCATGTTGATTTATATACAATAGAATGCACTGTAAAATGTGTGGCATTTCCAGCCGGAGTAAACCAATACCAGCTGGGTATACTATTGATACTCCCTGTAAGCTTAGTTACCATGGTGAAAGTGCATATTTGTGGTGACCTCTTGTCTGCCATTCATCATTCTGTATCACTATACCAGTCTTTTTCCCCTCCTAAAACCTTATGATCTTCATATGTAAACCACCCCTGGCTTACCAATTTGAACTTTTTGGCAGTAATAAAGAGGGTAAACTTTACTGTATAGGAAGTTCTGCACAAGACATAAACAGGTCATGTGGAAATGTGACTCCAATATTGAAAACCAAGCTATTGTTTGGTAGTGATGAAAATTAAATTCAGGAACAAAAAAGGTTGAAATTAGTAATTTGAAACTAGAAAGAGAATAGTAAATCCATTAATAATAATAATAATAATAATAATAGGTACTTCAGGATATCTGAGAATTCATTTGCTTTAGTATAAAAAGATCAAAATGCCTAGATTTATTTACTTATTTATTAGGAGGGGTGGACACATAATAAGCCATGATTGCCTTTGAAAAAATAATAAAGAAGTTAAAATATACACATTTCTCTTTCAGGTCTTTCATGTTGCCTATGTATTCATCAAGATGGCCAACTCTCCTCGGCCGGGTGTTTGGGTCCTGGAACGTTCCACCGACTATGGACAGACTTGGAAACCATGGCAGTACTTTGCAGACACAGAAAGCGATTGTTACAACATTTTCAATAAACGAGCCTCTTCCCAGCCTGTATATGATGATGATGCCATTTGCACTGTGGAATACTCAAAGATAGTACCCCTTGAAGGAGGAGAGGTCAGTTTGTATAAGCAAAAATATGTATATGCAAAAATACAGAACGGGGTTAACATAATTGAATGTTGCCCTTTTTGTCTGGAGATCATCACCCATTTTGAAAATAATAGCTGCGGCTTCTTGGACTAAATGCTACACTGTTGAAATTGACTTTTAGTTAACTGTGCAAGTACACATTCATTTCACCAGTAAATCATATTAAAGAAGAAATGATTCTGTTTGTTTTTGCTTTAAACATATTTTTCAACTTTGATTTCAGATTGTTGTATCCCTGGTCAATAATCGTCCCAGTTCCATGAACTTCCACGCCAGTGACAAACTCCAAGAGTGGACAGAGGCTACCAATATCCGTCTCCGTCTCATGAGGACAAAAACTCTGCTTGGCCACTTGATGGCTGTTCAGAGGCAAGACCCAACAGTGACCAGAAGGGTGAGTGGACTGGACGGCCAGTGAATCATTTTACCTACTGATAATGGTAGAGAGGTTGGAAATGGGGGTGGAGTGAATAGTTGCTGGGTATTGTACACTAGCTATCTCTACAAAGATAGAACATATATGTTTATATTCAAGCAGGTTGTCCCCTAAATGGTACTTTTTTATTTTTTTATTTCTTTAAAAAAATTTTTTTTTACTCTCTAAGAAATGGCTGTTTTTCTAAATGTAGTCTTTTTGTGTAAGACCCAATTCCCAGAGATTAGATCTATCCAACTAGATAGAACATAGATGTTTATATTCAAGCAGGTTGTCCCCTAAATGGACCTTTTTAAAAAATTTTTTTATTATTATTTTTTTTTGACTCTCTAAGAAATGGCTGTTGTTCTAAATGTAGTCTTTTTGTCAAAGGCCCCATTCCCAGAGATTAGATAGATCCAACTAGATCGACCTGGGGGGGTCACGCTAAATAGCTGTCAGCCGAGCGGGCACGAAAGTTAATTACCCCCTTACAGCTTGTAGTAGGCAAGACAGAGATTATGCCGGATTATCTGACAGTAATCTAGTGAGACTCCCCACGGGGATAGATTGATCTAAAATCTATGGGAATGCGCCCTAAATGTAGTCTTCCCAAAATTCATGAATTTTTTTTCCAGGGAATAATTTGCAAAGAGATGTTACAGAAAATATGTATGGGTTAGGATCTTCATCAACAAAAAGAAATGAAATCAGAAGTTGGTTATTAGTTACAGACCAAGGTTAAATAACTCCAGTTAATTGGAAATTTGGGTCTTTTTTTCACCAAAAAGGCGGAAACTTTTTAGAATAAAAGTCATTACTTTGTATGGCCTTGTGTAAATTTTTCAAATGTTGAATTATTCTAAATTTTTGGTCTGAAGTTCTATTGTGAAATGCAGTGAAGACTATTACTGGACTTAATATGTACAGCTTCATTCCTGAATATGACCATACTGAGCCTGTCCAGGTGTAAGGTGAAGTTCAGACTTTCAACATGCCTGAAGGTGTAGGAAATGTCACTTCAGAGGCTACTCATTATCTCCTTAAAGACAGACTACATAGCAGTCATGTTTTCCCTCTGACTAGATGACTAGACACTGGAAGACAACACATGTGATGGGCCATGATAACACAATGGAGAAGGGTCATGCATTAAGTCCTTTCAGGTAGACAGGACCATCTATAAACTTACATCATAGATGGTGGTACAATTCTTCAGGCAAGACAGGCAGTCTAATGGTCTTAGATACATACCTACATACATAGGGACCTGATTATAGAGTAGGCGAGACAGACCTAATGTGTCATTGGACATGCATCCTCTTAATAACCTGATCAGAAGGTCTGAAAAAAGTTTTCATAACTAAATATTTTAATATTTTCATATAAAATAGTAATCTTTTAAAGTTAAACCAGAACTCACAAAGGCTTGTCATTTTTTCTATTTTTTTAAAATCAGTTTTCAGTGTTCATATTTTGTTTCATAATTTTTAACTTGAGCAACTTGTGCTGAAACCAAATTATGGGATGCACCATCATGTGACTAAACAAATGACATACGGAATGGCTGGAGACTCGAGGGCAGTAGTGCCTTAGAGAGCAACCATATTATTTACAGTACACCAACAAAGATGACAGGGTAGACCTGGATTATACACACTCATTGGTGTGATAATGAAGAATGAGGGTAGATAATGTTACGTGGTTTAACAAGCTGTGCATAGTTTAAGGGACAAAGAACAGAACAAGAAAATCCAATTCTGTAGAGCAATGTTTGACATGAAAGGAATATATTTGAGAAAAGGTTACCAAAGTATACAAAGGTTTGACTTTTAAGTGATAGTACACAGACTGGGGCACACTCTGTGCTTTATAAATGCATAAAATCAGATATTGTATGTTGTAGTACACAGACTGGGGCACACTCTGTGCTTTATAAATGCATAAAATCAGATATTGTATGTTGTAGTTGAGGCTCAGATTCATAAAATAATTATATAGAAAGAAAGTGAAAAAGGTGCTCGTTATTTCTTATAATTCAGTGAAGAACAAATCAGCTATGAACACCCTGTCCATTCATAAGATATATTGAAATGCACTACAAAACTGGTCTTACTGAATAAAAAGAACAGGGCAGGTACCTTTATCCTTGCTTTCTCATCTTACCTTTCTCAGCCATTTCCTCTCAATAAAGAAAATTTCTGTTGAGTGGCAGGGTATGTGTGGACAGTCAAGCAGTGACTCATTCCAGACAAAAACCTCATTGAGGGGTCCATTTCACATGGACAGCCATTTACACAGGCATCTATGGACTGGGGATATTATTAGGCAGGAGGGGAGTCTTGACTATTTGTTATTGATTTATACAAAGTGAGGCACTCTCTTTCTGTCTCTTATCCCTATCTGAGGCCTTCTTTTGGGAAAATTAGGTTTTTAATGTCAGTAATGTTGCAGAAGAATTTATGCAGTGGATTTGAAAACATTCTGAAACATACGGTTAAAATTCCTTTGCTGAGCTCAGCCCTGACAGATGTCAGATATTCTAATAGTCCAGTATTGTCTGCTGTGTATAACCTCTATTACGTATTATAGCTCCCATTTTATCTTGTGGACTTGTAAACCTATATTTTTGACACATTCCAGATCAACTGTTATGGCAGGGATTTACTTCAATGTTCAGAATGCCTGGCTAATTTTCCTGTTGTTGAATGGTCCCTTTTCAAATACTTGAAATGTATACCACAAAGGGGCTTATCTGATAGGAAACATTACAACTTCTCTTCCTATGTATGCTGTTTTAGCTTCTGTATTTGTATTTAGAGGGAAATATGATGTCTGACCTACTTGATTTGTGTATTAACATGAAATTCAGGCATGGGAGTTTTTTACAAGCTGTATTTGTTTCCCAAATCTAGAGTCTTTTTCTCCTTCAAATTAGTCACTACAATCAGAATTGGTGCCATTTCCTAAATAATTGGTAAAAACCACCATTGGCATTCTGCTGACATTCTGCTGTCTTAATCCCTAGTAGTACTAGTAATCCCTATTCTTCCTTAGAAACTGTAAAAAGGTCCCTTTTGCATAGGTTGGGAACTTGGGGGCAAACAGTGTATATAGTCAGTTTATATAAACAGTTGCCAGACTGTATAAACTCTCCAGGGATGTAACAGCCATGTGTGTGTGGTTAAGAAAAAGAAGATCATCAAGTGCCTACATTTCCTGATCATGTGGTTTTGGACAAAGAACCATGTGAAAAAATACAGCATCATCTCATTCTTTCATGTGTCTTCCCTTTCACACAGAAGGTTTTGCACTCTATGAATTATTTCCTGTATGATGACTCAGAAAGTATAGCTTGACATTGTTGACCTAGTGTGATTATTAAAAAAGAAAAGATAGCTTTTAGATTTGAATCTCTCTCTCTCTCTCTCTCTCTCTCTCTCTCTCTCTCTCTCTTGTGTGAGGTTGTATTGGTGTGTATTGAATTTACTAGATTTTTGATAAAAAACTAGAATGGGATAGTTCTTTAATTTCAATTTTACTTTTAGCATCTGGGCTATTTTTTCTTGTGACTTGATCTTTGCATATCTAAAACTGTAATTAATGAGATGTTGCAGTGAAGTTTTTTCCAAGTCCAAATTTGTAGTGGTATGTTTTTGGTTACACATTGGATGCATCTTATGATTGTGTTTGAAATACAGCCATTTATTTTAAAAGTGTTCATCAGAACTGATGAGATGAATTAAATCTACCCTTTCGTATTTACAGTACTTCTACAGTATCAAGGACATATCTATTGGTGGGCGCTGTGTGTGCAATGGCCATGCTGACGTCTGTGACAAGACAGATCCAAATGATCTGTACAAGCTTCTCTGCCGCTGCCAGCACAATACGTGTGGTGCTCAGTGTGAGATGTGCTGCCCTGGCTTTGTGCAGAAGAAATGGCAGAGAGCTGACAACTTTAACACCTTTGAGTGTGAACGTAAGTTGGGCTTGGAGTGAGGATTCTATTTGCCTTTTATGCTATTAGTATCGGTTGTTTTTATGAAAGTTGACTTAAAAGAATAGAGTGTTGATTAATTTGTATCCTAACCACTTGACTATATAAATATGTAGTTCTTTTTACTTACATCATCTCCAGGCTGCCAGTGCTATGGTCACACAGATGAGTGTGTGTATAATGCCACAGTAGATGCCCTGGGTCTCAGTGTGGACAGACAGGGCAACTATGAGGGTGGTGGTGTATGCCAGAACTGCAGGGTAAGGCACTTTGTAGTGTTAATTTTTCCCACCATACTCCTTATTGAACCATCTTGTCAGATTTTTAAGATTGCCAGCTTTGTAATGATTGAGAAGTATAGGTCTGTTTTTCTGCATTATGAACAGTAGAAATAATGTCATGCGGTGGTTGAGGTAGACCAACTCCAATGCAAAGAATTCTATCTGAGCACATTGTGATATGCTTGGTGATGATTTTTATGCTCATTCTTAGGACAACACTGAGGGAATCAACTGTGAGAAGTGTGTGTCTGGGTACTACAGACCCTTTGGAGTACCGAGGAATGCCACTGATGCCTGCAGACGTAAAAAACATTTTTGTTTATTTAAATAGCAACTCTTAAAATTAAAAAACTTACAGGGTGTCAATATATTCTACCTAAGCACCATGGTTTGATGTTGTTTGGGAAAATAAATCTGAACAGATACTTGAAGATTTCAGCTTTGTCGCAACAAGAAAGCATCTTAAATTGTTTGTGTCTGTATGGTAAACCAATCATAAAAAATGGAATTTACATACTATGTCCATAAAAGTTTAAACCTATGGTTCAGAAAAATTAATAAAAAGGAACTTATATGTTCTGGTGTATATGTACCTTGTGCAACAATTACGCAGGCATCTTCTACATTAACAGCCTGTAACTGTGACCTGAAGTTCTCCACTGGTGATTGTGAGGAAGGAACTGGAATCTGCAAATGCCGTCCTGAGTACACTGGCATCAACTGTGACAGGTGGGTAGCACTACACCAGTCTACAAAACTGAATCTCTAAGAGCCTAGCTATAATCTGTCAGATAAAAGAAATTCTCTGATTAACCTGAGATTAATTTCAAACATTGGTTTTCACAATGTCAGGTGAAGGAAATATCAGAGATAACCCCTTTTATCAAATTTTTTGAAGTTCTTGGTTGAAAACAGAATGACCAGTGTGTTAATCCCTTGTTTTTAAATTCCTTTCCAGTTGTGCTAAGGGCTACTATGGCTATCCTAACTGCCGGCCCTGTGACTGTAATATCAATGGTACAGAGGGCGAGGTGTGTGAGGTGGGAGGTGGACAGTGCCCCTGTAAACCCAACTATTCTGGTATCTATTGTGACTCCTGTGCCTTGGGATACCACAGCTTCCCACAGTGTACTGGTAAGAGAAAAATTGAAAATTTTTTCAATCAAAAGAGATGGTCACATGGTATGAGCTGTATGGTGCAAATGTGTTGATATTTAGGTCACCTTTCTTTGTCTGTTTTGTAGATAACAACATAAACCAGTTGACTTCTAAATGTAACTTAGTGAGGGGTGCTAATATTTGTGTAATAATATCGATTATAATATGAATATTGTCTTGGAATTACCATTTCGCCTGAAAAAAATTATTCCACTGAGTAACAAAAATAATCCAGTTATTAAGAAGCAACACTGATTGATACCCTACTATTTGATCTCATTATTACAGCCTGTCGCTGTGACAGAATAGGATCTCTCAGCTCCATCTGTAACACAGAGACTGGTGATTGTACCTGCCGTAATAACTTTGGTGGCAGAGACTGTGATGTCTGTCAGGATGGTTTCTATGGATACCCACAGTGTTCAAGTAAGTAGCCTGTTATGTTTATTGTATGGAAATAATGATTAAATTGTGAGATTATTGCCCCAGGTTTTGCATTTAATAGACTTCCTTGTTTTCTCATGTGAGACTAAATTTGTATGATTTTATCCTCTTTTATTGCTTAATAATCACTGGGAATAATTTAAACATTTTCCTCACCTGGTAAATGCCAGAGGCAAGAGCAGCTATATCTAAGGTTATTCTAGTCATTCTTGAGTTAGCTTGGATTTAATAATTTTTCTCCTTCAGCCTGTGACTGTGACCCTACTGGCACCGTGCCAGAGATTTGTGATAAGACTGGTGGTCAGTGCATGTGTAAAGAGAACTTTGGTGGCCCACGCTGTGACCGCTGTGCTGCCGGATACTATGACTATCCTCGTTGTGTTCGTAAGTATCAATCATGAGTAAATTGGTATGTCAGAAAACCAGTTTCAAAAGTTGAATGAATAAAGTTTTAAGATACTCTGTGCTCTTTAAATTTTTAAGAGAAAAAAATTACAAGTGAAATACTTTTTCAGCATGTTTCTCCCTAATTTTGCTTGTTTAGCACCAAGAATTCAACATAGTTAATTTACTGGTTTTAATTTAAATGTTATTGATTATTTTCAGCTTGTCAGTGTGCAGACCCAGGGTCAGCAGACAACTTCTGCAGTAACTATGGCCAGTGTCGCTGCAAGGTTAATTTCAGTGGACAGAACTGTGACCAGTGTGCCCCTGGCTACTACCGATATCCTGAATGTTTGTGTAAGTATAAGAAAAGTAGAATATCATAAAGATGACAGAAACACTATTTTTTGCACTGGATATTAAAAGAGTGCAATATTTTTCCCCTAAAAATGGAAGGATGGGGGATGAAGTGAAAAAAATACTTGGTTAAAAAGAAAGAAAATATTGATAAAGGTTATGGTTTTGAAAAAAAATTAAAATTGCATAATGAAAGGAATGATTTTATCATCCACTGCAATCATTTACATTTTTATAAACTCTGTAGCTAAAACCCCAACAACAACTCTGTGACACTGACGTTTTCTTTTCTCTCTTTTTTTTTTTTTTTTTTTTTTTCATAACTGTTCAGCCTGTTCCTGTGACACCTATGGTACTATTGGTATTAATTGTGACCAGGTAACAGGCCAATGTGCTTGTAAAGGCAATTTCCAGGGACTGACCTGTGACAAATGTGCTGACAACTTCTACAACTACCCAGTCTGTGAAGGTAAGATAGTTCCAGAGTGTCACAATAGTTTTCAGTTTTGAAATATGGTTAGTCATTCAACAAAAGGAATTCGGAATTAAGTTTTTTTAAGAATGCCAAATAATAAGAAATGTTGGCAACAAACAAGTTAGAGGAAAATTTTGATTTTATCAGTCCAGGGGCATGTATATTTCATTTTAGTCTAGTTAATGAAACAGACATTAGTTTTAAAAGCTTTTTTTCTATCTTTTGAAAATATGATACTGCAACATAAATTAGATAGAAACACACCAAAAGTTCAACAAACAATTAACCTACAAGCCCCTATATTTCAGTGTGTAACTGTAATCCAGCTGGGGCCATGGAGGTGGCAGGTTACCCACTGGGTGGCTGTGGCTCTCACAGGACCCCAGGGCTGCTGTGCCAGTGTAAATCCAGAGTGCAGGGCCACATCTGTGACCAGTGTAAGCCAGGCTACTGGAACCTCAACATCAACAATGTGGATGGATGTGAAGGTAGGGAGGTGTTGACTGGATAACAATGGAAAAATAGGGAAAATATGACACTGTACATCTTAGTTGATGGTTATTTGGCAGGTCAGCAGTTTGCTTGCTTAAAGAAGCTTTCTTTTAAAAAAGGGAGTTGAATGACTTTGGTAGTGTATGCTAGTGTAATCTGATAATCTTGTGGTCCGTATTTAAATCTGGTGTATTATTTGTATTTCACCATAATCATATAGGCTAAATGGTTTCTAGCATCTTTCTAATTTAAACTTGTTATACTTGAAATATGCTAGTCTTTAATAGCTACAGTAAATTAAATTTGGGAAATTTTCTTTTGTCAGGCTGTGACTGCTTTGGTCCAGGCACGGTGTCAGGAGATGGGATCTGTAACCCAGTCAGTGGTCAGTGTCAGTGTAAACCATTTGCCAGTGGACGGCAGTGTTCCACCTGTGTGGATGGAACATATAACTTGAAGGATAACAACCTGTTTGGTTGCACAGGTACTGGAAGTCTGTTCGCAGAGAAAAAGAAATATTGCCTAGCTTTAAAATCTTGATTGCATGTGTAGAATATATGAGCTGATTTATGAGACTATAAAAAGTCTGGTTTCTTATCACATGTATTGACTTGCTAAAAATATGAGATACGGTCACAGGCCAGGGAGACTAGCTGAGAGTTGGGAACAAGATCTGCAAGTCAGAAGAAAAATATGATCATATGCCACAAGTAAAAAGATGCTGCTATAAGAACTTGTGAAATAACTTGGCCTTTTTTAATGATCTGTATTTCAGACTGTGATTGTGACATGGGTGGCTCTCTGGACAACAACTGTGACAAGAACACTGGTCAGTGCACCTGTAGACCAAGGGTCAATGGTAGAAGGTGTGACAAGTGAGTATGGGTTGTCTGTTTGTGTACAGTTACTGATATGACTTTCGTTTATCTTGATAGTTAGTCATTAAAAGCAAAGAAATTGCACATCTTGAAAAGCAGATTGTGGACTTATAGACATTCTTTTAAATTTGTCACCACCCCCCCCTTTCCTCCCCCCAGCTTGTTATATGATATCAGTGTTATATCATTACATCAGGACTTGGTAAAACCTATATCTTCCACTCTTTCAAACCACAACATGGGCTGATGTTGATTATGACTTTCTTAATAATAATTATAGTAATTAATTTATCATTTAAGGCCTCTGAACACACATTTCTTCCCCACCTTGTACCAACACCAGTATGAATTGGAGGATGGCCGCACCCCTCAGAACACTGCCGTCAGGTATGGTTACGATGACAACACCTTCCCTGGATACTCCTGGAGAGGGTATGCCATACTGTCTAGAATTCAGGTAAGATAGAGGAACATCATGTAAATCTTTGTTATGCATTTTATTGCATTGGAATAATAGAATAGAGCACTCACAATGTGTGATAATATATATCTATCTTTTGTCGAGGTGTGTCTGTTACACACGTTACAGAGAAAAAGTACAAATACTGCATCTGATGATGCATACTGTCTTAATATGCTTTATTCCACAAAACTGTAATAAGCACCTAATTGTGCACATCAAGGTTCAGAATTACTCTGCAGAAATAAACATTCCCATCTTTATATTTACTACATATCACATGGTTGTCTTTGCTCACTTTCCAGCCTGAGGTGATAGTAGATGCCAGTCTCACCAAGTCCAGTCTGTATCGTATCATCTACAGATACGTCAACCGTGGCCCCTCTGACATCACGGCAGACATCGTTGTCACGCCACAGCTGGAGACCTCCACAGATGTTATACAGTCCAACCAGGTGGTCTTTAAGCCAACTACGTAAGTTGATTAAGATAAATGGTTTTATTTTCTTTCAGTACAGAATGCTTAACATAAATGAAATATGATAGTTCAATTTTTGATGTGCCTAGTAAAGTTTTTGTTACTTGTTGTTATTGTATGGATAATACCGTATGTTTAAATTAAGATGTCTGAATATCTTGCATTTGTTTATTGAAGGATTTGTAGATGTGCTCATTTTAAAATGTTTAATATCTTTCTCTATTTCACACTTATAACTAAGATGAATCAGAGGTTAAAAAAAAAAAACTTAATGTATATTAAAAGCTGTAAATGTAGTTTTATTACAGCTGGTGGCTTATATTCAGCTTCATAATACTGTCTTCCAGCATTCCTGCTCTGGCTACAGCAGGCAGTGACGGCACCATTGCGACCTTTGTGTTGAACAGAGGAAGGTGGGCCATCTCTCTGAAGACCTCGGAGGATGTGATGGTGGATTACCTGGTCCTGCTGCCACAGGAGTACTATGAGGCCACAGTGCTCCAGGAGAGAGTGAACAAGCCATGTGTCCTGCCTGACAGAGGGGAACCGTAAGTGAACACTGCTTTTTTTCATCTCTATATATTGCAAAATTTTAAGAATTTACCACAAATTAATGTGAGTATAGAAATATTGCTGTATTACATAACTGATGCATCAATGTATCAGTGGAGGGGGAAACTTTTGAGTGTATTTCAAAATGATAAAATCTTAAAAGAGCATTCAAACTGTCAATGTTATTTAAAGATATTAAATGTTTTAAGTAATATTGTACATTTGAAATATGTCCTACTTCATTACAGCTGTCTCCATTATGCCTATGTGGATGTGAGTATTTTCCCCAGTGTCAATGGTGACCAGGGATATGTGATTCAGGATGGTCAGAGGATCAAGACACAGCTGTTGGACAACTCCAAGATAGTGGGTGCCCTGGGTGGCAAGGACTTAGCCCTTCTCAACAATGCACAGGTTTGACTTCTGTTGATTTTCATTGTATTGCAGTAACACAACAGCTGCATTATCCTTTCAGAAGAATTGTCACCCAAAAAGTAAATTCTTGAAAGAAAATTAAAGCAGAAGTATTTAGTTTTATTCTGAGTTGTTAAGTTGGCAAGGTGATGATATTGAGATGTTAATATCTAATGCCATTGAACTTTATTCTTCATTCCAGCAATCTGTCTACCTTGATGTAATCCTCCCCAACCCTGGGAAGTATGTGTTCATAGTGCAGTACCACACCAGCAAGCCAGACAGACAAGAGCTGCAGGTAGAGGTGGCCAGCACTGATGGTAGGGAGAAGGGAAAGGTGGCCATATACAAGTGTGACTACAGGTATTGAATAAATTTTGAAAGAAAAAATAAGTACATTCTATATTTTGTTCTCTTTTAGTTGTTATATTTCCCTGGCACTTTTTAAGGAAGCTGGAAAAATTATGACATCTACACACAGTTTGTAACTGCTAAAGCAGACAAGGAAGAGTACTACCTTAATGAAAAGTGACAACTTTTTTTTTCAGCAGATTTCATTTTCATGCAATCATATTTATTGTCAATTTATTTCAGCATGTTGTGCCGCCAGGTTGTCACAGATGCAGATGGTAAAGTGGCAGTATTTGATGTGCAGTCTGGATATGCAAGGATCACTCTTACTGGGGACTTGGACACTGATGTTGCCATTGTGAGTCTAATGCCATATATACCTTCATCATGTTGTTCAGTGGTTAACATCCGATGCAATTGACCAGATGGAGATCAGTATGAAGGGTTGCTTTATGAAAGTGTTGTGTTATTAGGTGGCCATGTCTTCTTAGCTATTGAAAAAAATGAATATGTCAAGACAGTTTGGGGAATACAAAATTATCATTTAACAGCATCTTAAAGACATTAGAAGAAAGTGATCAAGACAGACATAATTAATGGAACCAAACTTTATACAGTCTGTGGCATGTTATTATGCTGATCTTATATAGAAACAATGCCATTTTTTATGGAAATAGAGAGAATCTTGTGGTAAACCAAGAGAAACAAAAAATAATTATTAAAGCCAAGTCTCTCTCTCTCTCTCTCTCTCTCTCTCTCTCTCTCTCTCTCTCTCTCTATATATATATATATATATATATTTTTTTTTTTTTTTAGGAATCTGTGGTTGCTATTCCTCTGGACCAGTGGAACTTTGGCTATGTCTCTCCCAAGCTCAAGTGTGTGAGGAGAGATGGAAAGTAAGTTACATAATAATATATTGATGAAAAATTGCCAAAAAAGAAAAAAACTTTCAGATGGATCACTTGATATAAAAGTCACAATGAGTGTGATTTTTGTGAAACATTTTTTGCTACACAGGACTTAAACTTTCAATACAGTGCAACTATATATTGGACATTTTTTTTCATGTGATGGTAATTTGATGAATCTTTCTGAAACTACAATTTTATTTTTAGATGCATAGAAGGAGCTTTCCGTGCCCCTACTGGTTCTTTCAAAGTGGAGGTAGAGAACAATGAGAATCCAGCCACTACCAATCTGCCTCCTGAGATCATAGATGTGGACGTTGGCCTGGTAGAAATAGGAAGACGGACAAAGGTAAGTTGGATGAAAAAGATGACTGAGTCTATAATGTGTGTGCGTGCATATGTATGTGCATGTACTGGTTTGCCTTTGAAAATTTGAGAGTAGTTTTTAATGACATTTTGAGAAAAGATTCAGAAATGATAGTGGTCCATAGTGGAAAAGTGATACTGTGTACACCCCCCACAGTTGATGACACTCAGACAGGGAAACTGCCAGTCTGACTGGTCAGAACGTTTTCAAATGCCAGAGTAGTATATTGATACCACAGGTCCTCTGGACTGGCAAGGTTTATGTAATAATACAATATGTAATGATAAATCACATGTGAATATAAAGAAACAAAAATCAAAAACCTAACTTGAACCTGCATAGAATTAGGAGGGCCTGCAGAATTTTTGTAGTGCAGGTCCTCTGGACCTTCAGTATCTCCTGAGTTTTCCCCATGGCTACAACAATATCTATCATTGTGTTCGTATATAACCCTGTGTTTGGTTTCTCCATTAGCCCACTGTGAGGATCAATGTTCGAATCAGTAATCCAGGAGAGACCGTGATAGTTGTCCAATACTACAACCCGTCCTCTGCTCCATTTGATGTGCCTGTCACTCTGGAAGTCAATGGAAACATCTATAAAGGTAAGGTTTTCTCCTTCAAACTTCTAAGAGTAACATTTTTCCAATAGTTGCAAGCACACATCTATTCATAATACGTCTTTTCATCATTTCAATTTTGAGTGTGGTTATGGTGATTTAGGTGGTATCAGTTGTAATCGTGTTTATTACAGTTTGACAGGGTTCGTGATATTATTTGAGTGTTTTCCTCTTTGCACATATTAACAGTCAATGTGAATAAGTGTTTCAGGAAAAAAATTGTCAGCAATTTACATAAAATGAAATTTTTACAGCTAGTTGTAATATAAGAGCACTTTTGAAAATGTATTTAGATATTATGTGATATTGTATATTTACCTAACTTTTCTGTGTTCTCCAGGCACATTCCGTGCAGACTACTGCCCAGGGGTATCAGGCTGTAGAGCAGTGGTCAGATGGGACGGTACACTGGACCCTACCATTGTGGACATCCCCTATAATGACTTCAGCCTTGTATTCAATAACACTGCTGACAGTCAGCTGTGGTTGGTGAGTGTCAGCATGCCAGGTGTTCTCAATTTAGTCTTCAAAAAGGCAATATTAGCTCTGACAGAAACATGGTGTTCCGGCCAGAATTTGTTTTTCACTTCTCTACTGAATTTTGAGTTTCAAATGTTGAGTTATAAATGAGTAACTGAACTGTTATTTGTCCAGTTATTCTTTTAATGTCTATTTGTAGTAACTCGGACAATAACTTGGGTATATTGTTTAACTTAGTCTTGGGTATTTTTTAACTAGTTCTTACTGTTAGTTGTAATTAATTAGTAGAAGCAGTAATTTTTATTGTAAGGTCTCTGTAAAGCGGCAATAAGCTAAATGATTTTTCTGCTCAGTTTTAATGTTTCTATTTCCAAACTTGCAGGACTACATCCTGGCCATCCCTTCATTCCAATATGACACCCAGGTACTGCAGCCTCAGCCCATTGATAAGGCAGGAGAGTTCTTGCTGGAGTGTGCTGGAGACAACTTCAATATCAGGTAGGGCACAACAGACACAGTAGGGAGGTTAGATTAGATAGGTAAAAAGTAAATGTTTGTAAGCAGAGAAAAGGATTAAACAATATGGATTAGTCTTTTATGTATTTTAAAAATTGGGAAACATTTCTTATAACTCAGTTTTACATTAATTAATTGGTAACTGACTGAATAGACAATGAATTTGGTCACACTGACATTCCCTAGTAGCAGTGTTTTGTTTTTTGTTTTTGAAGATCAGACTATAGAAATCAGAAAAAAACTTTTTCAGTCCTGACAGTCCCTCAGTGAAACCATTTTGTCGCCGTGCCCTGTTCTCTCTGACCACTGACTACAACAATGGCGGTCTGCAATGTAACTGCAACTCAGACGGCAGCCAGAGTTTCCAATGTAATGAGTTTGGAGGCCAGTGCAGATGTAAACCTAATGTCATTGGAAGGAAATGTACTCAGTGCCGTACTGGATACTTTGGATTCCCTGACTGTCGACGTAAGTCTATAGAATGCCTTTGTGTGCGTGCTAAGTCTTGGAATTGAATATTGTATCTGCATCACTGCTGTAGGACATTATCTTACATGATACCATTTATAAAAACTTCACAATTCAAAGTTCTGTTACTTGCCATTAAATATTTATTGTTAAACTGTGGTCTAATAGTGTACTTTTTATCAAGTTACTGAATTATGTCAAATGATTTCTTTTCTGTTATCTAATATTACTTGCTTACTATATAACACTACCTTGCTTAAACATTTATCACTATTTGCAGCATGTGACTGCCCACTGGGACTCTGTGACCCAGTCAGTGGACGTTGTGTGTGCCCAGCCAAGGTGACCGGTCAAAACTGTGACACCTGCCTTCCTCAGACCTTTGCCTATGACCCCATCGTTGGCTGTGAGGACTGTAACTGTGACCCCAGCGGAGTGGTCAGCTCCCAGTTTGGTGGAGAGCTGGACTGTGATCTCCAGACTGGACAGTGTAATTGCAAGGCCAATGTGGATGGACGCAGGTGTGATAAATGTACTGCTGGTCACTATAACTTCCCACAGTGTAGCCAGTGTAATTGTGACACCAGGGGGACAACTGAGGAGATTTGTGACCAGAGGCTGGGAGCTTGCTTGTGCAAGGTGTGTTTTCACTTTATGAAGATTCTTTTTTTTTAATTATTAACATATAATGTACCTAGCTAGAATGATAAAGAAATGTTATTTGAAAGTCACTGACATTAATTATTTAGAAAAACATATCAGTGTTGAAACTCAATACAACATAATATCTATAAGCTTGGAAGTATAATGTTTAAAATTGAATATGGAATTTTTTGGTTCATTTTGTCCTTGAGTCGTATCTGATTTTTTATTGAGGTTTAATTTATCACCATATAACATTTTATTCTTTGCTCAGGTGAACACTGATGGTCCACGCTGTGGCACTTGCCGTGCTGATACTTTCTTTTTGGAAGAAAGAAACCCCAAGGGCTGTACACAATGTTTCTGTTTTGGCAAGACCAGTAAATGCAGCAGCTCAACTCTCTTCAGAGAACAGGTAACAGGCATTGATTTGAATGAGGTTGTGGGAAAACATCAGTGACTGATACCTATGATATTATCGTTGATATAATAATTTCATAGAACCTATTATGCATTGTTACACTAATCTGTAGAACACTTTGACTAATATCTCTGGACATGAGCATTACTGAAGCTGTGCTTATTGAAAATCAGCAGTTCCATAAAGCAGAACATGGGCATTCTAACCATCATTTATCACCTTTGGTTTCCAGGTCTCTGAGATGGAAGGCTGGCAGCTGTCCAACGGCGCCAATCCCCAGAAGTTTGGCACCACTCTGCAGGCAGACCTGAGGGGGGAACCACTAGACCCAGAAGGGGAAGGGGTCTACTGGCTGGCTCCTGATGAGTACCTTGGAAATAAGGTTTGTGAATAAGGCATAGAATTTGATGGCCAAACCTAATATATCAGTTGTTAAAGAATCAGTTGAGTGTAGGTGAAGATTACAGTTATTACAAGAGAGTAAAAAGGGGAATTTTTAGATTATTATTATAAATATTTGTGAAGTTTTAAGTGCATGTAGGTGGACTTTTTCATAATTTGTGTACTTACAAAAATATTTGATGCTTAACTGAGATGATAAAAAGGCAAAAAATTTAAACATAATTGAAACAAAATCATTAAATGTTATGAAAACTGAAATGATAGTGATTTTGATTGAAATATTGACAATCTATATGTTTTCCATCCAGATTACCTCCTTTGGTGGAAAGCTAATATTTACCATAGCATACACCTCAGACCGTGGAGATGCTTCAGGCACATACATGGAACAGGCTGATGTTAAACTGCAGGTGAGTTAGGCTAGTAAAATTAATTAGCCTGAAGACTTTTCTTCTTCAACAAAACCTACTTGTGCTGTGGATATTTTAGGTGGCCTGTTGTTAGTTAAAGTAGAAAATTAATTATGTACTGTTTAATTAGTTTGATATTTTCAAAAGTCTGATTAGGTACTTGATACTGTTGAAGCTTGGATACTCAAATAGTTGGGAATAAATGAGAAATTGACTGGATTTTATTTCACTTCTTAAATAAGAAATTTAAGACCCATTTAACCCATTCCACAACATTGTACATTATATATTATGAAATTGTTCTGGACATTTATTGCCTGTTTGTGATGCTCACTGTGTTATTAAATTGCCAGGGTAACAACTTGACCATAGTTCACAAACTTCCAATGCAACTGCAGCCAGGAGAACAGAAAACTGTGGAAGTAGACATCTTGGAGGTGAGAGTAATTCACTACTTGATGTCTGTAAACCCCTCTCTGCCATCTTGTTTTAATTTGACAAAGGTGATGTTTTACCAGCTGTTTTAATGACATTTTGGCGATTTGTTTACAATTTTACAATAATCTAGTGAGAAAAGAGAATTGTGAAGATGACATGCACCTTGATTTAAGAATGGATTTTAATGTGTTTATCATGGAAGAAATGGTGAGAATTTTGCTGGTGTTTTAGACTAACTTCATGCTGGAGTTAAGTGGTGACATGGCAACACGAGAACAGTTCATGCAGATCCTGGTAGCTCTGGACTCTCTGAAGATTAAGGCTTCCTACAACACCAGGATGGAGTCTAGCAGGTAATAGTGTGTGTAGATTATCAGCAAGATGGAGCCCACCAGGTTTTTGACATTTTGCATGACTGCTACAGATTTTAATCTGAAACAAACTGATCACGAAAACATATTTTTACCTGCTCAAAAGTTAGAATTGTATGACCTTTAATATCACATGTTGTTGAAAAGTTGCTCTTGCGTAAACAAAAAAAATCATTAACCAATAGAAAGAAGTGCTGATATCCCTGTATTATAATTGTCAGGTTGAGTGATGTGCTGTTGGATATTGCCACAGAAAGTGGTGCTGGTGTCCCTGCCATGAACGTAGAGCAGTGTGCCTGCCCAGCCAACTACAGGGGAAGCTCCTGTGAGGTAGGAGGCATTTTATACTATTGCAGTTCTAATATTTTGAATGTATGAATTGTGTCGTTGATTCTAGATGGAAATTTAAAACCTTTTCATGCACAATGATATTACGTCTTAATGAGATATATAGCAATTCTCTTCCTCTCCACCTTCTGCATTTCTCAGTTCTTTATTTTATCACCAATATAAGATATTTCCCAAGTGACAAGATAAATGGTGTATTTTTCCCCTAGGACTGTGCAGTTGGTTACTACAGACAGGAGACTGGACCATACCGTGGGGTGTGTGTACCATGTGAATGTAATGGCCATGCAGACCAGTGTGACCAGGAGACTGGTGTGTGCATTGTAAGTACTGAGTGTGCGTGCATGTGTGCTCGAGTTCATATGACAGAGATGGCTAGAATTGTTCCAAGTTTTTCATATTTTGACAGAGATGGCTAGAATTGTTCCAAGTTTTTCAAATTTTGAATAATTTGGGTATCAGTGATAAGATATGATTAAGATTTTTACACATCCCTACCTAGATTTTTACACATCCCTACCTAGTTCAGTTCCTATTTTCACTAATAGCCCTTATTGAGCATTCTGTTATCAAAAGATGCATTTATAGTTTCCATAATATTCATTATTTATTTTCTTTCAGGGTTGTACTGGTAACACGTATGGGGACCACTGTGAGCTCTGTGTACAGGGTTACTATGGTGATCCAAGAATTGGGGAGTGCCAGATTTGCCCCTGTCCTCTGCCTCAAACCTCTAACAAGTAAGCAGTGTAAAACATTCTGTTGAAATGTCTCTCTGGACCATAGTTTTAACTCAGAAAGCAGGAGCTGGTGCCATTTTCTTGAAACCATCTTAGATTCGTTGTTTTTGACTCTTGAAGATCTGTTCGAAAGTGTTCTTGTGTATAGAGAAATTCCTGGATACGATATTGTGATGAATTTATATAAACACTGGATTAATGCATGTTATTTACTTTTTATGCTGGCAGATGAAAACTGGTAAGTATCTTACGATGAATTATAGATTATGGTAAATTGAAATTAATGAATCAATGTGAAATGAATAGTTTCATAGTGCTAAACTAAGATGATTTCCCTTCTTATAGTTTTGCCACCAGCTGTGGCCCAGATCCTCTAGGTGTGACAGGACAGATCATATGTGAGTGTAGACAAGGCTATGAGGGAACCAGATGTGAGAGGTATATCTAATTTTTTGTGTTCTCTAAAAAGGATTTTTTTCAAACTACTAGTTTTTGAAAAAATTATGTTGTATATTATCATCAAGTGTTTTGAATACAAATTTGCTTTTAAAGGCACATACGAACTGAGCATCAGTGGAGTTTGGATTCCCAGTAACACATCTAAACCACTTCTACTAGTTTCTTATATGACTCAAATAAGTTTGACATGCCAAGGGATAAACTGAATAGATCACTTGATCAGCCATAAAAGAGCTTTAGACTGCTCCTTTCCTTAAATTTTTGGTTGGAAATTTAACCTACTTTCGTGACCTACTGTTTTGCCCCATTGACATACAGCATAGAATGCTAGCAGAAAAATCTGTTCAAACATCATTTTCGGGAAAAATTAAACAGTGCCGTTTGGTTATTATCTTAGTTATACTACTTGAAACTATATGCTGGCATTTGGTCAGTTTTTGTGGCAAAATATTGGCTTTGTATGCATCTTTTAGACAAGAATGTAACTGCTTACAAATGAAAAAATTACCAATTCAGTAATATTAACATTTGACCACATTCATTACCCATATTTCTAGGTGTTCTCCTGGATTTTATGGTGACCCCACACAACCAGGTGAGGTGTGCCGACCTTGCTCATGCAGTGGCAACCTTGACCTCACTGACCCCAGGTCATGTGACCGCTTTTCTGGCATCTGCAACCTGCGGATGTGTGAAAATAACTCCACTGGGGACTACTGTGAGAGGTGTAAGGACTGGTTCTGGGGAGATGCTGTGGTGGCTAAAGACTGTCAGCGTAAGTTTTGATGCTGAGAGAAGGATCTTATTATGAATGGAAACTAAAAAGTCAAATGACATGAAGTGTTGTCTTGCAAAATGGAAAAAAAAAGCAAAATTGGTCATCCTTTATCCTGTTTTCACCCTGTAAAACTATTATTTTTGCAGTTTCTGTGCTCATAACACATTTTCAGTGTATGATAATTGCAATAGTTGAAAGTTGATGCTAGAGCCTTGACTGTTACTGTTTAGTATGTATGATATGTTGTCTTCCCTCCTAGCCTGTACCTGTGACCAGTGTGGGTCAGTGGAGTGTGAAAACACCAATGGTTATTGTAACTGTAAGACCAATGTTGTGGGCCGCAACTGTGACCGTTGTGCTGTAAGTGGTGAAACATAATTAATAACTAGAGTAGACTAATGAGACAGTGATGTTCTTTGTATGCAAGATTTTATGTTTGTGTATCATGTAAAGTTCAACAATGCTTAATTGCACATCAGTGGAAATCTTTCAATTTATTACATACTTAATTGTGATATTGAACATTTATTTGTTGTTCAGAAATTACATGCTCACTATCCAGTTATCGAAATTCCATTTATTATTATTATTTGAACTTTTTGTCCAGCCTGGCCACTATGGCTTTACTCGCTGTAATGGCTGTGAGACCTGTGCCTGCGACGTGGCGTCAGTCAGCCCACAGTGTGACGATGAGACAGGACAGTGTCAGTGTCAACCTGGAGTTGTTGGCAAAAAGTGCGAGAGATGTCAGAATGGATTTTGGAACTATGGACCATCTGGATGTACTAGTAAGTAGGATGGTCAGCATCCAGGCTCTAATGCTGGTCTAATGCTGGTTGAACCTTTTTAAAAATTGTTTATAAAATGTACTTAAATACTTAAATAAATGATCTTTATGTAGACAGCTTGAGGAGGTATGAACTATAGAGAGAGATATAATAAAAACCTTGCCCTTCATCCAATGTCTCTTTGATATCTAGAATGTGACTGTGAGCTAGATGGCGCCACCACATGTGACCCTCTGACAGGCAGCTGTCAGTGTCTGCCAGGTGTGACAGGAAAGAGGTGTGACAGGTGCTTTGACAGATGGGTTCTCATACCTGAGGAAGGGTGTAGAGGTGAGGGAGACTATTAGAATTATGGTGAAGACAATTGTTAAGTGGATATGTTTAAAATGAAATTATTATCATTATTTCTGTTAAATTGATTTTACATCTCATACATGGTTTTTAAGAAAAAATCATTTGAATCAAAAAGATATTAAGCTTTTGTAACAATGGAAAAGCACACACTAACGTTTGCATTATCATTTTATCATGAGCAACTTCATATTTTTTTCTGCATTCAGTTTTATGATATCATTGCACTATGTTTTTTCCAGAATGTGACAGCTGTATTCACATCCTACTGGATGATGTAGAATTCCTTGATTTGGATGTTATCCGCTCCATTCGTAACCTGCAGAACATAAGTGTTGGAATCTTCGCTCTAGAAAGACTGAACAACATCAGTACTGCAGTGGAACAACTCAGGGTAACATACACTAAGATGCCTACCTTGATTTCTCTTTTATATTGGCAGTTAGTTTGCTTCCCTTTTTATATGTTATGGTGCTGACCACTGAAATCATGGATCTTTTCTAGTATCAACAAAATAAAGATTTCAGTCAGAATTTTACTTGATTTTTCCTAATTGTAGCCTCTTTTAGCCTTAAGTCAGGTTTGCTGTATCACTGAACATGTAAGATAATGTTGTTTTTTTCCTCCATTTTTTCAGCCTCGTTTGGCAGACATCAAAGTGAGTGGAGACTTGTCTGCTTTGGAGCCTCTCAAACAGGATGTAGTGGACTTACAGAACAAGGCCCAGGATCTGGACACAAGGGTAAGCTTTGAGGGTCTTTGTTACTTCAGATAAAAAAAACATAAAGAAATACTGGTTGAAATATTTGATCATTTTATCACTTTTTTTTTTCAGTATAAGAGTCGCAATGTCATCAAATTTAAAAGGTCATCTGTCATCCTCTAAACAAGACTTCATATCTCACAATCAAGGAAGTCTATAAATAGTAAAATTTAGTGTAATTAAGTTACTTGAACAATAATTCATCTGCTGGAGAGCAAGGTTTTTTTACCACCTGTAAACTGAATCAGACATGTTTATGAAGTTAGTTTCAAACAAAATCTACTTCAGGCTGAGAATGCAGCATTTGATGCCGTGCGTGCAGCAGATAAGGCCAAAACATCCAGAGATGCTGCCCTAGATGCCAAGGATCAAGTCCAAAATGCTGCACTCCTAGCAAGAGGTAAGTTGATATTGTCTCATGATGGACATTTAGGAACAGATAAAGCTACTGTGGAATTTTAATTAGGAAATGAAATCAAAATTTCCTCAGTTTCTCAATAATTTTCTAGTATTTACTGACCATCACCCTGTACTTTCCCAGTAACGGACTTTTTTTGTTTGTTTCTGGATGAGAGTAACTTGACTCTGCAGCAGAACATTTTTATTCACACTATATTTACTGTAACAGTAAAAAATAACTCCGCATTTGTTTATATTTGATATTTTTACCCCTCAGAAACCAGAGTTTCTTTTTAGTGAAAAATATGATCAACTGTTTAAGCCATTTGACTCTCACTCTCTGATTTCCAGATGCTGTCGAATATGTCCAGGATTTGTCACAGAAAATCCAGCAGGGATTGGAGGGCCAGAATATAGACGAGCTGATAGCCAGAGGAGAGGAGATCCTGCAGGAGATCAAGAACAGGAACTTCTTACCAAATGATGACAATGTCCAGGCAGAACTAAGAGAGGCTGAGGACTGTGAGTGTTAAAGAAATAAATGGAATTTAGATTTAGCAACAAGTAAATGTATTTGTATCAGTGCATTTGCAGGTTGCTACAACTTATTGGCCTTTTTCAGTTATCAGGTAAATTAACTATATTAACTCCAGAATTTTCAAAGCCCACCCTTTTTTTACTTACACAATCATTAACTGTATTGTATTATATTATATTATATTATATTATATTATATTATATTATATTATATTATATTATATTATATTATATTATATTATATTATATTATATTATATTATAATATAATACTTTTAATCTCCATGCAGTGCTGTCCAGAGTGAAAAGTCTGAAGAGAGTTGCTGACCAACAGCAGAATAAAACCAGAGAGTTGCAACAACGGCTGGTCACTTATGATGACCGTCTCAAAGATCTCCAGGACCGGTCAGCTAGTGCCAATCAGCAGTCCAGGGATGCCCAGGCATGGAATGATAAGAACAGACAGGAAATAAATCGACTGAATGTAAGCATATTCTATAAATGGTTCATCAAAATTAATGTGTAAATAATGTATATGGTTATCTAATCATGTGTGGTTTGTTTTATTAGAAGGCTATTCAGTCATGTTATTAGGTCACAGGATCTTTAACAATATCAATAGTATATCAGTTTATTTTAATTTTTTATACATAGCTGATGTTCATTTATATTTTCCCAGTGGTAGACTTGGGTATTATAAGTAAAATATTTGATAAGAGGTTTACTAACTTACAAAATATCATGACATTTTTTTGCAAAATACAATATTCAGGACACAATAGCAAAATAATGAGGGCCTGTTAGAACAGAACAATAAATTATGCAGGTCTCTTGGCTTTATAAATAGGGGAGATGATAGTGTCCAGGTATCTGGCATAGCTTTAAAAATGTTAGCAAGTTTATAGTATCAAGATAAAGTTTTTATCCCATCTTTCACATCATAGTAGTTCATTGAATGCTTATGAAGTTGTATCTTGTTCTAGACTCTGATGGGTGAAGGCAGCAAGTTGCGTGATGAGATCCAGGCCCTACTAGAAATGGCCAGTCAAATGCTGACAGATGCTGGCAAATATGTGGCAGATGCAAGGACAGCGTATAGAGTCAGTAGTGCCTTGGATTTGTATTTGCTGAGCTCTAAGTAGAATGTAGAACATAAGCCAAATATTAAATATTTTCTAATTTTTTGGGCAATAGAAATATGAAATGTATTACTGTTCTTTGTCAATTTCTTCATGTTATAAGACAGCCCAGAATTCTGCACTTGCATTAAACATGCTTTTATTTTCAAAATACTAAGTGCAGACTTTTTATAAGAAGAAAACTTTACAGGGAAAAGTTAACTTTCTTTGATTTTACTTCAGGATATAGAAAGGGATTCCACCAGACTGACGCAGGCCCAGGAGCAACTGAAGAATTACCTGCAAAGTCTTGTTGATGAAAATCAGAACTTGCGCCCCCTTGTGGACAATGCAACAGTACATGCCAACAGACTTGCTCAGCAGGCTGATATTTTGGCAAAGTAAGAATTTTGAATTTTAGGTATTTTATACAGAGGGTATACATATTGTTAGTGTGACGAGGTTTATTGCTCATTTTCATTGCACATAGTGTTGATTCAGATAGAAATAAATTGTTGGCTTTTACATAAAGGGTATGAACTTGGCTTAAATCTTAAATTGCTAGGATAGCAGGTGCACTTTTTCCCCTCCTCGTGACTATCTGATCAACATTTTAAACTGTTAATTTAAAAAAGTAAATCACTTGCATTTTAGTTTGATAGCAGACACCAAGAAGGTAGCAGACAATGCACTGAAGGCAGCCATGGCATATGAGAGCATAGCTAACTCTATTGAAACTGCTCTCAATGAGTCACAGAAGGCTGTAGATGAAGCCAAGGAGGCTCTAGAACTGGTAACTTTATTTTAAAGATCTTAAATTTAATGTTATTTGTTGTTGAAAATAATCTACGTTGGGTTTTTTCTGCATCACTGTGCAATCCAGATGATGTGGGGTTAACTCTTCAGAGATAGAGTGAAACCATGTGACAGGCTGTATGCAAAAGTGACACCCAAAACATATGGAATTTGTACTTTTTGTGCATTAGACTGTAATTTGAAAAGACTTAAGAGAAATTTGTTGTCCCACTGCGGTGGCTAGTCTTTTTTACCTGCCTTGCTGTAGATATATATACACACACTTCTTTGTTTATAGAGCAAGGGTAAGACAGATGAGGCTGATGCCAGCCTGAAGGTGAGCCAGGACCTGTTGGCCAAAGCAAAGGACCTCAAAGCTAGGGTGGTGGCTGGAGGAGGTAGGTAGACCAGTGGGAATGTTGGGGTGAAGTAACTCTCACTTTGCTGTTTTTTTATACTTCAAAATATACACTATTGTTCATGCAATATGTGATTGTTTAGCTCCTTTCTGAAAACAGATAAGTCTCACTAGTGATATTTGTATTACTGCTGCAGTTGGAATGCATCATTCTTGAACACCCTAAATACAAGTGACATTAAAGTAAGGCTTCACCTGTGTGTGCAGCAATGGTCATATAAACAATGCATGTTTTATCAGACTTGAAAGACCGCCTGGACATGGCTGTAGATTCTACCAAAGAAGTAATGGATCTGAATGCCCAAACAGAGAACAAGATGACAGACCTCAGTCTGGGCCTGGGCATGCTTCCAGCAAAGGGTATGATATTTTCTAATACCAGTTAACTATCTTTTAACTTATCATCTTTTATGTTTGTAAAGAAGTCTATCAGATCTTTCTTCTTATTGGTTGTGATGTTATCTGTGAGAAGAAACGTAGATTTTAGTTTATCTATTGAATAAAATTCACCAATCATCCAAATGTAGAGTGACAAATATAAATGGAATGAGTAAGAATTTTTAATGAATGAATAAATTTATTTATTTATTTATTTTTATTTTTGCAGGAGCCATAGAGAATTTGGCCAAAGAAGCAGCTGCCAAGGCCATGGATGCGGAGAACAAGGCGGATGCTGCAAGGAGCAAGGTCCAGGAGATCATCGACAAACTCCCAGGTGACAAGGACAAACTGCAGCAGATCAGCGAAGATGCTGACATGGTTAAGACAGACATAGACGCAGCCCAGCAGCAAGGTAAAAAATTCGACCAGACAGAGTTTATATACCATGTAATCTGAACCTATTAGTTATCTTAGAGTAGTTTGACAGAAAGAAAGAGACTTTATTGCAGATGCAATCTTTTGTTTTGGTCTGTTGATATTATTTTATGGAAAAAGAGGTTAAAGTTTTTTTTCCTCGGTTTATTTATTTAAAAATAAGAAGAAAAATACATGTTGCCTCAGAGGGAAAGTTCATGTAAGAAAATCCAAATAAAAGTGTTAAACTGGAGTTTGGTATTTGCATCTTTAATTTGTTGTTCTAGTTGAGTCGTTGACAGCTCTTGTGCCAAATGCAACCAGAGACATCAACAAGCTGTATGACCAGTCCAAGAGGATAGATGGTGTAGCAGAAGACCTCAGAATTAAGATAGCTGAACTGAAGGAGAAGATAATCCAGGCACAGGAGAGAGCAAATAGTGTGAGTTCAAATAGATCATTTTTTGTTCATCATGGATGAATAATGCCCCATATTTTGATTAAAATCAGGTAAATGTGAAGGACGGCTGCTAGAATTGAATGAAATATTGAACCACAACAGAAATTATCATCAGTATGAGATTAACCCAAGCAAATAAACCACGTACCAACTAAATACTGATATTGATTTACACAGCATTTTGAAAATGTCTTCTGGAGCTTTCTGGACTATCATTATTGGTGTGTGTGTGTGTGCACGTGTGCGTGCGTGCATGGGTGTGCGTGCATGTGTGTGTATATACTAAGAAAGTGCTAGCAATTTTTTCACTTAGCCAAATCACTACTTTTTCATCCTTTTTTCTCCAAATGGTTTAAGTTCAACTAAAACAAGTCAAATCAACCCTGTTTTGTTTAGCCAATGTAATTCAGTTTTAGCATTGGGGAGTGTTATCGCTACCCTAGACATTTATACATACTATCATTTATTTTTCCTTCCAGATCCGTGTGGGTCTGACTGTATTCCCCAACACCACCTTGGAGCTGCGTAACCCACAGGAACTGAAGGATGCTGGCTCCTTCACCAAGTTGTCCACTTTTGTCAACACCACTGACACTGATGGTCTGCTGCTTTATGTTGGTGCAGATGCGAAATCTGGAGCAGCTGTGCCCACTGTAAATATCTGACTTGTTATTAACTTGTTTTTACAGGTTTTGATGTCGTGTCTTAACTGCTTACAAAATCTTATCGAGCCATAAAAATATTTTTAAAAGGCTACAATTCTAATTACTTCAATGATTTCTTTGAAAGTTGATGTGAATTCTATTAAGGGACATATTTTTCAAAATTTGAAGAGCCAAGGAAAAACTTGCCTGTAAAGCTTTCAGCTTTCAGTAACTTTATTTATTTATTTATTTATTTTATTATTATTATTATTATTATTATTTTTTTTTGTAATTTGTGTTGTCAAAATAGTCTTCATGCCTTGCAAAAACTAAGATTAATTCCATTGCTCTCTCAGATGGATTACATGGCCCTAGAGTTGAAGGAAGGCAAACCAGTGTTCAAGTTTGACCTGGGAGATGGGCCTGCAGAGATAACAAGTGACAAGAATGTGGCAGACAACAAGTGGCATGAAATTATTGCAGAGAGGTATAAATGACCACTTCTTAATATAGATACATCATATGTAGTCTCTATAGTAATAGTAAAGTTACATAAGCAAAGGGGATTGCAAACTATATGTAATGTTTTGTATGGAAGCATGGTTTATAGTTATAGGTTTGATGCCAGTATTGAGGTATTCTAGAGCTGGGGAGTAGAGAGGTTTTTTTTACTCATCTTAGTGTATTTGTGCAAAACTTAAATAATGCAATTGTGTTGCTTTTTCAAACAGGATATTAATATTGCTTTTCCCTTTAAGGTACTCTCCATTGGTTTGAAAATCCTCTCTTTGCTTATTTTAGCTATCCACAGCTTCTTATAAAACCTGACATGCAGCTCAAAAATGATTAAACTCCATAAATATTTTTTCTCGAGAGTATCTGATGTTGATATTTCCATTGGAGCTTATAGAAAAATGGTCGTTGTAATAATGTCTAGCCAGTCATTTTAAGCTTAAAAATCAACCTTAATGAATTTTAACAAAGGTTGAATCCAAGTGCAGAGAGATAGATAAATGATTTGTGAGAATGAGAAAATTGCTCATTTTCTGGGGAAAATCCATTTTAGTGGGTAAATCCCATGGAGTGTACCTTATAAATTCTGAAATCATTCATTACACCACTTTCTCACCTATGTCTTCCTGTCCAGGACTGGGCGTAGTGGGGTGCTGACAGTGAAGACAGAGATGGAGGAGGATGTGTTTAACGAGGGCTCCACCAAAGGTCAGAACAATGTCCTGAACCTTGAGGACCCTGAGACCACCAAGATCTATGCTGCAGGAATCCCTGAGGATGCTCAGGTAAAAGCTAGTTACAGCTAAGTTTATGCACATAACGTGTTAAGGTGTGAAAGTTTTCAGGTCACAGTAAAAGAAATTGGATCTGTTTAGTGACAGTTTCTACCATCACGGACACCTTGCTTCAGATCAGTTGTTGATATCTGGCAAGACATGAAGACTTTTTTGGTAATAAACTGAGTGATAATTACTTAAACTGTCAGTGGAGAATAATTATTTCACAGATATTGGACATTTGTCCACATGAGCTTCATTTTGACCATTAGGTTTCATACTCAGATTAGAATATATTATGCACTTACATGATTTTAAGCACTGTTCATCTTTTTTTTTGCCAGGTTGATTTTGCAAGGTTGATAAAATCTAATTTGAAATTTTATAAGAGAAGTATAATTTGTGTGACCTTTGCCTTCAGGTGCCAGACGTAGTGTCAAGAGAAAAGTTTGAGGGTTCTTTGGAGGGAGTCACATTCAATAATATTCCCATAGGCCTCTGGAACTTTGAGTCAGCCTCAAATAATTATGTTGGTGCCATTGAAAGGTAATATTTTTGCATTAAAGTCATTTGTGGGTTGTTGTATTTTGAGTGAGTGAAAACTTCTGATTCTGTGATTATGAGGAATATACAGAAAATTAAATTGTGAAGATTCTAAAATGACTCTAAAATGTTAGATTTTGTGTTTATGCCACCTTTTTTATTGGAAAAGTTAAATGCATGTTGTTTTTTTTTTTACTGATTTGATGCTCTGTTGCAAAAAAGAGGTTTTTTATTGGTAAAGTATCAAGCATACACATCACAGAAATGGCTGTCAGTTTATTTATTTTTCACCTGTTTTTAGACCAACCGTACCATCTACTTCCACATTCCACAAGTTCAAAGGAGATGGCTATGTTCTTCTGGACAAGAAGCGCTTTAACCCATCTGAGGAAAGCACAGTGAAGTTTGACTTCAAGACTTACTCTGAGAACGCTTTGTTGTTCCTGATAGGAGACAGTGACTTTATGTCCGTAGAGTTAGTTGGTGGGAAAGTGGTCTTCCGTTATAATCTAGGTGGTGGCACTGTGAGCCTGGAATCCCCTGAAAAATACAATGACAACAAAGTTCATTCCGTGGAAGCTGGGAGGTTCCAGAAAGATGGGCTGATAAATGTTGATGGGAAGAAAGGTAGGTTGGAAGCTTATGTATATGATGTTTTGTTTGAAAAGCTGATGTCACGAGGCATCTAATTTAATATTAATGGGCCGATTTCACTTCCATAGTTTTTGTTATTGTTTGCATTTCACTTGGTTTCATGTGCAGGTAAAGAATTTATAGCAAGAAATGGTTTTGACTTTGTAAGGGGCCTGATGTTGATACTTCCATGGAAGCTAGGAAGATGGTTCCTGGTTATAATGACTGGCCTGTAATTTTAAACCAAATCAGCCTTTATAAATTTGATTAAATGTCAAATCCAAATGCAGAGAGGGAAAGATCAATGATTCGAGAGTAGGAGAAAATTGTTTGATTCCCAGAGAAAATTTTGGTGGGTAAATTGCATGGAGTTGCCCTTTAATGTTTGTTTTGTATTCTAGTGATTGAGGGTACAGCACCAGGCAATGCCAATGAACTGGGCACTGACAAGAACATTTGGATTGGTGGATATAATGGAGTCCCTCAAGTCAAATACCGGTAATTGGGATACAATATTCATACCAGAATTGTTCATCTTGTGATAAAATATTATCTATGATTTAACTGCGCTTGTGTATTCTGTTCTCTGAATTTTGGTTTACTTAAAAAAATAATAATAGTAAAATAAAGAAATTAAATAAAGAATAAAATAAATACAACAAAATGAAAATCATTTCTCCCAGCATTTGTGTCATATCCAGATATTGGTAAGAAATGACTTAAAACTAAATTTATAATATTTTTTTTCATATTCTTATTTCCAGTGACATTGCCCAGACCAGTACATCTTTCAGAGGTTGTCTTGGTAACATGGAGTTGAACCAACAGACCGTCAACCTGCGTGACAATGTAGCACAGAAAGGGTTCCAGGATGACTGCAGAGAAGATGTGAGAAATATTCACATTTTGTATTTCTTAACAGTGTTTGTCACTTCTGTAAAATAGTTGCAGGCTCTGAAGCCTTGCAAGTTATATGAAAATGTGCTCATTCAAACAAAGATAAGTTTGTTCTCTTAAATATGTCTCCTCAGATAGTTTTCTGCTGTAGATGATAAAACCAGCCATCCACTTTGACAACTGGCTGTATATACTGTTGTTGAAAAATCCACAGAAAACAGAAACAACATTTTTCTTTTCTTTTGCTTACAAATATATATCTCCAGGCATTTGTTTGGGGTCCTGCCATCTGAAAAATTGCTGTAACACCAAGATAATTAACTTTGAAACCTTGCAGTTTGTCAAAAAAAAGTTGTCCAACTCTGACTGGCAGGTGTTTGTTTATTTCAACAGTNATTGGCATGCAGTTCAAATAACAAAACCAGCTCAAATGGGTTATCATTTATTATTGAATTTAAGCAGTTTTATGTGAAATTTTTATTTTTCTCATTCTGGCATTTTCAAAGTGTGAACTTAAACTCCCATGGGCCTGAAGCCTTACGCTTGTTACACATTTCACTTACATTGGTATTACCTGTTGAGCATAATTAAAATTTGATGTTGAATTTGCAGTTAAGCATAATGTACTTTTGCATCAGAATTGACAGTAGCCCGTTTTGTGCATTGTTATTGTCTGCTTTTTGTCTTTACATTTGACAGCTTTGCTGCCTTGTTTTACTTGATAACTTAGCAAAATGAAAAGTTTGCAGCAAATTTGCTATAAATATTGCAGGCCTAATATTTTGCCAAGGGAATTTTTATGAGCATATTTTTCATAAACTGGAGAAACCAGTCTTGTCTCTATATAAAAATAATCAAGTTTTAAATTCTAAGTACTAACTAGTTATTTATTTATAATAATACATTATACAAAATTTTCCAAATTGTTGATTGAAGTATGTACATTGTACATCATGTATGATAGTTGTTATGACATTTACGTATGCTTTTATAATAAATACATTACAATAAATTTTCAAAGATTAATAAAAAGAGTCAATATAGCTGTGCAATGAGAACATGCTGTGATTTACATCAATGTGATTTAATCAATGTCTACAGTGTTTATACTATTTCTTATTTGAAAACACTTAGGAATTTTTTTTTTTCTGTATTTAAAGATGTTAATTATTCCTGTCAGTATAAGCTATATATTTTTATATGGATAATATTTTTGGTAAATTTGTTTTATAAATGTTTTGCTAGTCATGTTATATATTGTATCCAGGATTTTATTATCGAGTATTATTTATTTTTTATCTAATATACTCTATTAGCTATATAAGAAAGAGATATAATGTTTATTCCTCTATTCTAGTGCAGGTGGGGAGGACAGTTTTTAATCAAAATTCAACAACTTTTGTCAATCAAATATAGAAAATGTGTCTATACATATAGATGTCACCTGCATCTGTCGTCGCTGTTGCCGTCACCATGCACTTTCACAGATAATACAAAAAGTGGAAATCATTTTACCTTTTGGCTTTAAACTTAACAGAACTGATGAATATTCATAATATGCAGGTGGTGTTTAAAAATTAGCATATATGCAACACTGAAAACACATTAAGTGGTAAACCATTTTACCTTTTGGCTTTTTTTATATGTTATTTCTCATATTGACATGTTATTTGTATCTTTTAAGTAACATGTCTATGTAAATTATTTTTGTGTGTATTAGTTAAAGGGACTTCTGTATGTATCTAAAATCTTGTTTTTGTATGTATTAGTTAAAGGAAGAAAAGTCGGCTGTAATTATGTGCTCCAAGCAGTTATCCATCATTACTATTCCAGAGAATGATTGAACATTTTCAGCTCTTCAGCATCATCTTCCATGTCACCAGATACAAAGGAACAGTCTCTAGTTGCACATTTCTTTCTTTCCTGATTGAATTATTAGCTTGGCCTTCAGTTCATTGAAGTGTGTGGATGCAACTAGCCAGGCAGCAACTGTGTTCATAAGACATCCTTATGTGCTTGCAGGCCCGTAGCCAGGGGGGTTCGGGGGGTTCGAAAGAACCGCCCCTTTTGCTGGGAAAAGGTCCACTCTGGATAAAATTTGATCTAGGTACATAAAGTTTTTATGGGAAAAGGTCCACTTTTTCAGAAAACGAACCCCCCTTGTGAAATTGCTGGCTACGGGCCTGTATTGAGATATAATTTCTAATTTTATAATTTTTTTGTTGAACTTTATTGTGAAAAATTGTAATTTATACCAATATGCTGTACATGTGCAAGCAAGCTTCATTTATGCACTGTGATGGTAATCAATCTTTGACTCACCTGTACTAGCATACAATCATCTGACTGTATATTTTTAATAATTTTCAATGCTTAAAAATCAAAATATATTTAACTGTGTATGTGGTCCGAGATAGACATTTTATGAATAGTAGATGGGAAGTGTCAATAATTTTAAAACTTACAGCTATTTTTCTGCTACACTGTTAATTAGGTACTGGTTAATGTCCTCAGTATGCCAATGTCTGCTGTAATATAAGCGTGGCAAACTATTATAAGAAGCGATAATAAATATTTGCTTACAGATAGTTTTTGTACACACCTTAAAGATTCCAAAGTTAAGACATAAAATCCAAAAACATTTAAAGATGCATACAAAGTCAATTTTTTGTCACAAAAACCAACCAAATGCCAGCATATAGTCTCAAGTAGTATAACTAAGAGAATTACCAAAAGGCATTGTTTAATTTTACCCAAAAATGATGTTTGAACAGATTTTTCTGCTGGCATTCTAAGCTGTATGTCAATGGGGCAGGAAAGTAGGTCACGGAAGTAGGTTAAATTTACAACCATAAATTTGAAGAAAGGAGCAGTCTAAAGGTCTTTTATGGTTGATCGAGTGATCTATTCAGTTTTTCCCTTGGCATGTCGAATTTATTTGAGTCATATAAGAATCTAGTAGAAGTGGTTTACATGTGTTACTGGGAATCCACACTTCACCGATGCTCGGTTCGTATGTACCTTTAAGGAACGTTATGTTTTTGTCTCCATAACGTTAAGAACAACATTTGGAAAATATTTCCTGGGAAAGTTTGGTCAATGTTTTTGAAAAGTTTGGGGAACATTACACAATAACATTTAGGGATTATTTAAAAAAGTTAAAATAGGGCCATATGGACCTGTAGCTCACCTGAGAGGTCCTGAACCCATTCGGTTTCTGAAAAATATATCACACCAATATTCCCCTCTTGAAATTAGAATTCTGGCTAGTTAAATCATGGTTCTAAACCATACCAAAGGGCATGGTTTGCTCTCCAAAACACCAATTTTTTCTGGGCCCCCCTTCAAATTATCCTGGATCCGTCCCTGTTAACACATGTCAAGTATATAAATCACCTTTTGTTTAACTTATCTGAGGTGTTATAATACCTTATTGAACATTTTTACAGGTTAAAGACATGTCCAAATGTTGCCAAAAGTGATCTTCTCAGTGATCATCTATCACCCCCGAGTAACTGACTGTCTTGAGAGAGCACATTGTACTCGTATTCTAGGAACTGATATCTTATTTAAAAAAAGAATGCCGCTGGATGTGGAATTTAGAGACCCTATCATACGTTTACGAATCAATTAATTTTGATGTTACATGTAAATTTAGAATTTTAATATTAAGACACTAATATAGCGTTGATATTGCCTTGGAAAAGACAAAATATAATGTCATTGTGATTCATGATTTATTACTGTTCAGTACACATCAGATTCCGTAAATAAAAGTTCAAGCGAATAATGTTCGCGTTAAAAAAACGCCCTATTTAAAGAGGCTCTACCGCGGTAGGCTGTGCAGAATGGCTAAAAACGCGGGTGGTATTGAAATTTGGCGTCCCTTTCAACTGACACATAAAACAGCAAAAAAAGACCCCAATTGTCATAATTATCATTGTAATGATTTGCAAAAAAAAATCTTAATTTTGTTTTTAATTGCGTTTGTGTTGAAAATTGAGGGTTTTTTTTCCCAACTCATATGTGTTGTTCACCTGAAAGCAAACGGCATGCTGGAAGAGATTGCTTTTCACCCTCACCACCACTTTCCTGTCGCTACGTCAACTGTATGTCTTGTAGAGTTGTCGGTAGTGCTCTGACACTAAGGGTACCTATCCTAAATTATGTTAATATTCCATAATGCAAGTAAGATTTATTTTCAATTAGTCATTCACTAGACAAGAAGAGGTATTCTAATTATTGATATCATTGTTGTTGTTGTCACAGTGCCCATTGCCACAAAGAAGAAACCGTTTCAGTTATTTCTCAGCTACAAGACAACTACCAGGGGCCAATTCCATAAAAGCATTCTAACTTAGCATGATACTAGACCTTAGAATGATTCTAAATCCCTAGTTGTATACTTGTTAGCAATCAACTAATTTCTATTCCATAAAACCAAACTAAGAATCATTCAAGATTTGGCTAGAATGGTGTATTCATAGGAAAACCACAAAACCACAGGGTCAGTTACGCCAAACAAAAGGTAGTGACAGTGAAAGTTGAGCTGATTGCAGGCTGAGGGAAGTACTGGTCAAGACATTACCATGTATTCTAATTTCTATAAAAGCCCTATACAGAAAGGGGTCAAAATGGCAACTTCAGGGAAGAGACAACGAAAGCCCAATTATTCAACACAAGAAAATCTCTTTATTGTGTTGTTTATTTATTATTTATTTTGTGGTCACAGATAACTTGCACATTGATTGAATGATATCCTTTTCTGTTCACATAGTCAGCTTCGTAACAGTGAGGGGTGTTAATCCAAATGTGAGTACCATCAACACAACCTATCACACCTGGGAAGTGTATGTTTCTCATCCTATAGAACCCATCTTTGATGTTGGCCATATTTTGTGCATTTGGAAATTCCACATAATCCCCAATCCTTGCTGCAAGAGCATTTGATACATGATGAATTGCACACNTTTAATATAAAGCATCATAACTGTTTGCATTTAATTTAGGTTCTGAAAGTGGTTTCATTTGAAGCCAAGAGCCCAGGCTATGTAGCATATGATGGAGAGGCACAACCGATCAATGTCAACTCTAAGTTTGAGACTACATTTAAGATTAAAACCAATGCTGAGGATGGCATGATCCTCTATGCAGCCAATGATAGAAAGGTAAGTCTTCCATGCTGCTGCTGCTGCTGCTGCTGCTTTGGCTTTGCTGGGTTACTTTTAGAGGCTTGTACCTCTTGTGTATGCATATTTTTCTCCTCTGTGTAATCGTGCCCTGAAGAAAAAGATACATGTATTGCTATCAGTGTTATGGAAATTGTAACTCTGTAACTCGCCCCAAGTGTCACACTTGCATCATTTATTTTTGTGTTAATGCCAAACAATTGACCAGTATAAATCTTCTCATTTTTGAAAGAGCTGAATATATTTGAACTTTCTTGTGGGCATTATCACTCATAAATGCTTTGTAGATTTTACCTTTGTTTGAAATAGAATAGAGTGTAGAAGTTTTTTCTGTCTCATATTGTATTTAATTAAATGTTAATCCATTGCTTTACCCTTACTGTCTGCTTTAATTTTGTTACATGTGAAAACCTGAAAAATGTATTCAGTTCCTATTATTTGTTTTATGCTATTGTTGTACATGTAAGCTTGTCCTGTAAAGCTTGGTTGCTTCCACCTGGTGTCAGTATTTACCCTGGTAGCAGCTCTCAACTTGCCTCCCTGCCCCCTGTGTTATGGTTAATCTTTGTTTCAACTCTGTTTTTGTGAAACTTTTGGCTGACTGTCCCTCTCCTCATAGCATTTGTATGTGTTATCCTTGGCTGTCTGCAATACTGCAAACACTAGCTGTAGTGCGAGTCAAAAAGCTACTGGGGCATTGCTAACATACCAGCTAGGGGCACAGCGTGGCTTTGTTTGTGTGGCACTATATTAATGGAACCACCACCTGTCTAGGTGACGGATGATACCACGTCTTTCCAGACCAACTATTTTGCGGTGTACATGGATGAAGGTAAATTGACTGTTGAGAGTGAGCCAGGCAACCAGCTGACCAAGCTGCAGACAGAGGGCAAATACAACGATGGAAGATGGCACTACGTTACTGTGATCAAGGACAAGACAAAGTGAGTGTTGGTCTTAAAAAATTTAAATGTGATAAAAGATGCTTCTGACTAGGGGCCTAACTAGTCCTAGGGTCAAATTTGGCCGACCCACTTGAGTACTTCCCCACAGGATATCTATTCAGTGTCTATTAACAGATTAGACAGCAAGCTTTGTTGTGGCTCGCCATATTAGGCCCCTATTCTGAATGGGGCCTTAAACTGTTAAATGACCTGAGTTTTTTAAGTGTGTGGTGATATGGTCCATTTTGTTGACCAGGCCACTGTCCCTGGCTTCAGTATCTTAAGCAGTGATGATTTACATTAGAACTGTAGTCATCTGGTTATTTACATTCCTTCCAGGCTGACAGTTGTTGTGGACGATAACATAAGACGCGAGGAAAGGGCAACGGGAACCAAGCGCCGTGTGAAGACCACCACTCCACTGTATTTTGGTGGTGTACCTGAGGGTGCAGCCACCATAAAAGTGGCACCATTTGATGGATGTATAGGAGATATTACTGTGAATACCCTGTATGTTATTTATCCGTTTTACTTGGATAATGGACCAGATAGAAGCGGAGAATTTTTTTTTTTTTTAATGGTCATGATTTAAACAAATTGAAGCAAGAATGATAAGCATTGTGCAGTGTATATTATTTAAAGTGACTAAACCAAGATTAAAGGGGAGACATTTAATAAACAAGAACTAAGTCTCCTCTCATAAGACACAAAGTACATGTGTAGACCTTATAGAATTGACAGAAATTTTGGCCCTGTGTATTCTCTTTAGTTAGCTATTATCCTGACTCCTTTATGTCCTTGTTGTTCCAGTATAGTCAATTTTGGCTCTGTCCCACCAGCAAGCATGAAGAATGTGTCCTTGGCAGGCTGCCAGGTCGCAGATCCAGAGACACCTAGTGGCATTTTGATTCCCACTGCACCAACTGGTAAATATGTTTAAGTACTAGTACATGAAACAAAAATCAGTAGGATTGCACTGATAAGCTGGTGTTTCATTTGCAAACGATCAATTAAAAAACTAATTCTACTGATCCTTTGAAGGAGAAAATAATGTTCAAAATTTTGATAAAGCTACAAGAAACACTTGATTATCCATTTGCAAGGCTAATTCTGTGGACCCTGAACAGATAAGATGATAACTTCATTTGACAGAACAGTTTGGGACAAGTACAAGGACTGAAATTTTGTAAGAAAATGTAAGAAAAGGATAATTTGATATTTTTCAATACCCCAATATATGTCTGCACTTTCTTTGAGTAAAATTTGTTTCTGTCAAATTGCCCTTCTCTCATACTTTTTACATTTTTATCAGGCAATGAAACCACTACTGAATTGGCAGACAAGTGTGTCTTGCCATTACGTCCTACACAGGCTCCACCTTCTGGTGATGGGGACACTGGGGTCAGGTTTGGTACACAACCATACAGCAGGCAAGAATACAACAAACTACCTATTGCCAATGTCAAGATCACTAAAAAGTAAGTATTTATGTGACAATCGTTCATTTTTTTTCAAGGGTTAAGGCTTGGATTTCTGGTTCTTTTTCATAGTCATTGTAGTTGAGTTCAAATGAGATAATGGAGAAAAACAATTGTCAGTGTTATTAATATCAACAAAAAGCATAAGTTGACAACTATGTAATCAATAATTTTCAAAGCCCACATTCACCTTTATATGTCAAGACAAGTCCTGTTTCTAAACTATAAAAATATACCGCCATCTTGTATCAGGTTTGACATCAGTTTTGAGATCATGACTACATCGTCTGGTGGACTGCTGCTGTATGCTGCAGACAGCAAGCACACTGATTTCCTGGCAGCCTATATGAAAGAGGGCAGAGTGGTGTTTGCCTTTGACTGTGGCTCAGGCACTGCAAGGCTTCGTACCTCACAGACATACAACGATGGCCTGTGGCATGAGGTAGGTGGACTTTTTTCTTGAAATACAAGGAGAGACAAGTGTGTTTTGCATCAAAAAGAGTCATGCACAGGTTATTGCCATCTTATGTGGGTGACAACCCACTATAACTTGCCTGAGGGCTTTGTGATAAGGCTGAAACGTAGTGGCCGAAGGCGATGTATTTGCCTTAAAATGCTTTCGTTCATTATTTGATTTCATTTCCATTACACATGTTCTTCTTGAAAACAGGTACGTCTGAAGAGAAATCGTAAGCAGGGCACCCTGATTATAGATGGTAAAGAGGAGGCCCAGGGCCAGTCCACTGGGAAAGCAGCCTCCATCAATGTGAAGCCTCCTTACTTTATGGGTGGTATCAGTGAGGAGAGAGCCAAGAAGGCTGCCAGCAATGTGGAGGTATATCATTTGGCGTGCTATCATCCATCCTCTTATAAAAAGACCTTGTGGCTTTAAATATTGAATGTGTCATTGCAAGGAGGTTCAATGGGTCTAAAACAGGGTAGAACAGCACTTTTAATGTAGGTCAAGTTTATTGCATTGTATCTCACAACATTATTTTAGTTGTATAATTACAGGTAGATTGCATTGTTATATTTTACTGCTAATAATGCTGATTTCTTGTTAAAATTCTTGTAATTTCCCATTTCAGGATGTAACCCAGAGCTTCATGGGCTGTGTGAGGAGCTTTGCACTGAATGACACTCCATTTGGAAACCCAGACAACGAGACTGCAGTCAGCTCTTGTTCTGATGACTATGAAGTAGGAGCCTATGTGGGCGCTGATGGTGGATATCTCACTCTTGGTAAGAAGTACTGAGAAATGTTGAAGAAATTTTTTTTTTTTTGGCAGGGGGGGACGTGAACACTGGAATGGAAATGTGTGTCTTTCTTTACAGTTTATGTAGGAAAACAAGTCTCGGAGAGAGTTTTTTTGTTTTATTTTAAGAGGATTAGATTGAATAGATGAGCCTCTGGTGTATTTATTGACTCTGTGTTTTTGTCCTTGTTTCTATACTTTTTATTTTGCTCCTTTTAACTTCTGAAAGATATGTTTTTGAGTCTGGACTTTTCTTCACCACCAAACATTTAGAAGCTAATATCTTTTTATCATTTAAAACAAAATGTATTACTCTTAGCATTTTTACTTTGTGTTCCTATATTGTATACGTTAATATTGTGCCATAGAATTGATATTGATTTCTTTTTTGTTGTAATTTATTTTTAGATAACAATTTCAAAGTGGGCATAGATCTGGACATAGAGTTTGAGTTCCGTCCACGCACACTGTCAGGTGTGATCATGTCCGTGACGTCACAGAGAGGGGACTATCTGGCTGTGCAGATGATAAATGGATCGGTAGGAATGGAGATAATTATTTTTTTGTTTTAGGCCAAAATCTCTTTTTAATTTTTTTTTCTACTATATTAAAAATTTTATAAGGTTCAGTATAGTTTAAAAATATTTGAAGTTGTGAAATAAATTTCTTTTATTAGGCAATTTTAAATTACACAATATTTTTTGATATGTCTTTTTAGTCATTGTGAATTTATTTCAAGTACAAAAAGGTGTTTTAGTGAAAAGTGACAACATTGAACTTTATTTATGTAAAAAACACATTACACTGCAAATTATTTTTTTGTTTAGTCCAGTGCATCTTTTATTTTTGTCCAAACCTGTTCATAAAAAAACTCCATGATAATGTAAATTTATGTTCTTAAGATTGATATTGCTTTTTCGTATTGTAGCTTATTGTGAATGTGAATAATGGTGGAGGTGAAATAACAGCCAAGTACACACCACCTGATAATGCCCGCAATACCATGTGTAATGGAGAGTGGCATGAAGTAAAAAGTAGGTTATGGGAAATGTTACAGAACTATTTAATTGTACCACCAGCGTTAGCGCTGGCGGNATAAAGCCTGTCATGTTTTGGTTAAATGGAAAACTAAAGTATACTGTTTAACAGTTGCTACAAGATTCACACAGTGTTTCCCATTTAATTTTGACTTCTTTAAATGATTAATTTTTTTATTCAAAATAAATATTTGCCTTTTAGAAACTTAAACTTCATTGAGCCATTTTACTTTTCTCCTGAATATTGTTACTAAGAAAAATATGCAGACAATATCACTTGTAAAATTCTCTTTTATTTTTTCAGTACAAAAAGCCAAGAATGTGGTTGCACTGACGGTGGATGGTTTGTTTGTGGCGCCAGCCTTTGGCAAGCAGGGCCAGTCCTCCACAGATACCAATGATCCGCTGTACTTTGGTGGGGTGCCAGGTAAGAGTTTCCTCTTCGTCATAACCAGCTGCAACTGGTCATTCATCGGAGTAACACTAACCCAAGGTCCATTTTGAATTTGGATAACAAAGTAGCTGATAATAGGAATGAGGCCCTGTCTGTGATTGTATCTATTTGCTATTTGATGTGATTGATTTGATGGCAAATATATGATGTTAAGAATGATTTAGTGTTGTTAGCAAAGGTAAAAAAACCAGGACAGCAGGAAATATTTCATTACAGAATACAGACACGCTTATAGCAAGGAATTTTGTTACCACCTCTCTTCTGTTGTCAACATTGTTTTTAAGATGTATTTTTCCCAATTTTAGATGTAACAAAGGCCAAAGGTATCCAAACAGGTCAGCAGTTTGTGGGTTGTATCAGAGCAGTCAAGTTCAACAAAGAGCTGAAGAACTTTGCCATGGCAGAGACATTTGGAGATGTCAACCTCAACACCTGTCCCAAATATTAAACTGATACAGCTATGGCAATGAAGAATGGCCCACAGTGAAGACTTCTAATAAGTGAAGTCTTTGAACCACAGTTGTCTCTGACCAGTCTAGAATATCTGGATCAAAAACTGAATATTTTATCAGGAACTGAAAATGAAACAGGGGTGATGTTATTTGTGACGAGCTATTGCTCTCAGTTCCAGTTTTTATTTCACCATACACAAAGATATCAGCATTACAGTCCCATGTGAAATTATTATTGTTGAAGAAACGACTCTTGTTTTATTGTCAAGTGCAGTTTTACCAGTGTTTGTATTATTAGTGATACGTGTTTTTGTCCTGTTCCGTGATAAGTTTTACTTCAGATATGATGATACTAAGAAATACGAAGATCATGTTGTCAAACTGTGCAAATAATATTCAGTGCCGTTAAGGGTAATGAGAGAGAATGTTATTCAGCAGTGTTACTCATGAGATTAATAAGCTTGATATGCTAAATGTTTTCTTTTTATACTGTCTTGTATTTAGTGTCGTGTAAATGTAGTGTTGTGTTGAGTCACATATGGGACAGGCTGGGTAGAGACAACTGAGACTAGTTTTGCTCAATTTTGGAGATTTTAACTTCCTTTTTGACATAAGACATTTTAGAGGAATATCGATACATATGGTTTAATTCCCCCCAAGTAAACAAAGCAATGAGAGGAAGAACTGTGAATCATTCGGTTAACAAATCGTTTGGACACTAAGACATGTAAACATGAAGGCCCAAAAAGTTCTTTACTTTGCAAGATCTTAAGCAAAATTTTAATCTTAAAAAAAAGACTTGGGACCGACTTTGAGCATCACTATGACAGAAAAATAACAAAATCTCTGCTTTGTTTTATTTCTTAAGGATACTTGTTTTAAGATCAAAAAGTCGATACAGCAGTATTATTGAGGATTTTAATCACAGGTTTACGATATTTCTTTAGGTGTGAATCCTTCCAAAAGTATTGTGATAAGTGATGTCAAGTTCCATCCAGCTTATCCGCAAAATAAAAAGAAAACTTAGCAGAACAATGTGTTTGTTTATTAAAACGTGTTAATTTGGCCCTTATCACAATGTTTACCATTTATCTGCGATCATTAGACCGTTTTTGTATATCAATATGTTGCAGTATTGATCCCATGGTTTATTGATAAAACTTGGCGAACGACACCAGACTTATCTACTGTTCAACGCCGTGGTAATACACATAGCTCCGGCACACTATCGTAAATGCTGGGATCATCTCACAAAAACATTGATGGATGAGAGGAAAGAGAGAAGTTGTTATGTTAGTGGGGCAGTTTAAGGTGAACTTTTGTACGACAGATACAGTCCACTGTACGAGAGAGATATACTCGTTCCATGCCCTTACACCTGTTAAACAATACACGGTTATACAATCAGATAACCCAATTTTCAGAGCCGCTCTATCTTCATAAGTCCTGGGTTTATCGCGTCAACATTTTAGACCCATTCAAGAGAGGTATATATCTCCAGAAAACGGGAAAATGGGCGTCGTCCACTTCGTCTTTTTGGTCAGCACTTTGTCCAGTGTATTTACCGTTAATGTCACTGTTCTAGAGCCAAGGTATACGGATGGTCCAGAGTTCGGATTGGTGATCATTCCTGGAGCAGAGATTAAGGGTTACACATATCGCCCTCTAGGTGAGGTTATTTTATTGATTGAATTTAACATGAACCATGAACATATTACCATGAATTGCCACAATTAAGGAGGTTGGTTAGGGCAGATTGCATAAAGGAGTGAGTACGTTGCAATGATATATGACGACAAATAAAAGGGGACTGTTAAAGAAAGAAATGTGAAAAAAAGGAACTTCAGGTATGTACAGATATTACAAGAAAAAATGAGACAGATCTTTACTATCGGTCTCGTCCTTTAGACCGAAGAAGTCACTCGTCATTCACTCGAGGTTGGTTTGGAATATCTATATTTCTATTTCTTGAACTCTATCGTATTTTCAGCTGAGAAACTACAAGTGCAAGCCCCGTTCAAACTTTGGGTAGGGTTAGTTGGAGGTTTCTTTTCCAACACCCCCAATCCCCTAGAGCTCCCAGGGGGTATCGAGAGTGCGTTGGGTGCCATGCGCAAGGCAGGAATGACCGCGGCATCTAAAATTTACCTAGCGGCCCATAGTTTGGGTGGTAAGAAAAATCGCTAAACTAATTTCATCTAAACTACATTTAAAAGAAAGGCCTAGGGAACTTCACTGACGACGATGTGTCTTTGCAGTAACAATTTGTAATTTAATCCCTGTCATTGTGGTGGCGTCTATTTATTTCTCCCAAAGAAAAGGTGTCATTATTATTATTGTGTTATTATCACTATTTGTTACGTTTTTTTTTCTTTTTTTTTTTTGGTCTGTTTGAAAAACTAGACATATGAACTACAACGCTTATATTCAGTCGTGCTGTTGCACTTCTACGTCGATTTTCTTGAATATCATAAGCATAACATGTCTTCAAATAACTTCAGATTCAATAAATCACATCTTTATTCAGGCACTTTTCTCAGCGCCTACGCAAACACCAATCATAAAAACATATCTGGTATTCTACTGTACGGCTCCTACCTCACGCGGTCCTACAATATGTCTGCTTACCCTGTGCCTGTTCTTACTTTGTCTGGTGACATGGACGGGTTGAACAGAATAACCAGGATTCAGGAAACATTTCAGTAAGTATGGTCAAAGGATATGTGGTTTGAACGTTTTGGAAGCCCATTGAATTCAATGACATCAGGAATGAATTTTTCGATGTTTTAGGAATCTTCAGGATTTATATGCCAAAGACCAAGCTGTGATATATAGAAGTCCTGTCATCACCTTGCCTGGTGTAAATCACGGACAGTTTGCCTCTGGTGTCATGCCAAAAATGGTCCTGCAAAATGATATCCCCGCTGAAGTGTCCAACGATTACGCATACGAAATGATAGCAAATGCGTCCAAGTATTTTATGATTGCAACAGCGAAGACGCCATCGGATTTGGTTGTGGTAGCGGAAAACCAACTAAAGCAATATTTTCAAGATAATCAACAACGTATGCAGGTAGTCCCATTACACACAGTTTTATGATTTTCCTTTTGTTGGTATTCAAATTTCATGTGGTTGAGTTTCTTAGACTCACAATAATTTGCATTGGTATTTACTGCAACAGATGCCTTTGGCACAAATGAGAAGCATTACACCAAATGAGACAATTTTAGTGTCAGTTCTCTATTTTAACCGACTATTTTAATATCTAGTCTTATATCAGAAAAGCGTTTTTGGATTCATAGCTAGGTTTTAGAAGATAATATTTTATCAAAAAAATCTGCAAACGGTCCCTTAGGATTTGAAATTGAAGAATGAAACTAAAAATGCCAACTTGTTTTCTCATTTTTAACAAAAAGGGTCTTTCTGCCTTTCAGCCTATCTATGCCGTGCGATCAATGGACTCTTTAGGTCAGACATCGCCGTGGTCAGTGGTCGGACAACAGATTATCTCTAGACTTATTGATACACAGAAACTGCACGTATGGAACTCTAACACAATCAATTCTAGTTCTTTCCGTGAGGTTTTTAAAAACATTTTAACGACAATTAAATTTGTTTTGCCGTTTTCCAAAGTGTAAATTAATATGAACAATATGACTTTTGTCCACATCATTTCAAAAGTGTATATACATGTATGCAATATTAAAAAAAAAAACTTTTATGACAATGCCATATCCGTTAATGATACAGTACAATGCACACCAATAGGCCTAAATACACGGAAATACTAAATCATTAACATAGACTGGAGATATTTATTATTGTCAGTTTATTGAGCTTTTCTCAATAGTTAACTAGGTTTGTATCACCCTGCAAGATGTACTTTTCGTTACATACGTCAATGCTCACTTATTGTCTCCATCATACCTTGATTTCTGGGTTGAACCCTCGCTCTCAATCTGGACGTGATTTTCTCTTCTCCGCCAATACTGATTTTGTGCTCAGACCCCATTTCTAATACAAACGGATTAATCGATTGCGTAAATTTCATTATCTGCCATGTAATTAACTAGACTTAGGCTTCGTTCACATGCAATGTCTATTTTCTAAATTCTATTTTCTATTTGCGGCATGTCTTATGATCACGGTCTGTGCACTGAATATCCCGCCGCGTAATTACTGTTAGAATTTAGAAAATAGACATTGCATGTGAACGAAGCCTTAGGCTATGGTTTCCAATCTGCAGCAGTTACTTTTGTTTGCGCTGTGTTGACTTTAGACTTGAAGTTCATAAGAATGCATCACGTTTCATTGGAACGTCTTCCCTTCTAATTTGCGTGATACATAATGCCTTTATTGGATTCTTTTTTACTTTTTATTAGTTGTCCCTGCTGCTGATCCAGGGAATTACATACTAATTTGCCAGTCGACAAGATAATGAAAGAATTACGACAGGAAGAATAATCTCCATACTTTTTAATGTAATACATGGATATGGAAATGTATCAAAAGAGAGTATTTTGGGAAACACAGAATTCGTATCACCAGATAGTACCTTCTCTGGTTCCAGATATGGTTATTCTTATGTTCCCATTCTAAAAATCACCAACTACGGGTATCTCGAATAGGCCAATATTTAATTTCACACATGTTCATTTTTCAGGTATACAACCAATTAGTTAATGAGATATCCCTGCAAGTAGACGAACCCAACATTGTTGCCAAAGACGGCGAACTTTCCATAACAACGTACACGGAGATAACGTACCCATTCAACCCTCTGGACGTCTCCTTTTACCAACAGTCTCCTTCTCAAATCCAGGCCAAAATGTCCAGTAGCGAGGCCGTTCAAAGATATCTTCCGAACGGGAACTTTTCAGAACCTTTATCGTGTAAGGAAGTCAACCAGGTAAAGTTCATATATCAACTGATCCACTTTTGATCGTATGGGATATTGATTTAATTATTCAATTGTTTGCAGTATTGCAGTTGAATTTCTTATGGAAATTTCTTTTGCAAATATATTTTAAAAACAGTGCGATACAAATGTGGTAGTACTATCATTAAAGTAAGTTTACAATTTTAAAGGTATAAATCGTGGTTTGATAAGACTTCTTTGAAAAAAATGTAGTGATTCCTGCACTTATACAGTGATCCCAATAAAAACGATATTTGGTATCTTTTTCGGTTATTGCAGGCGGCTATCTACCATGCTCTCTCCCTTGCAGCTGCTATCCCAAGGACTCGGTTTATGAAGAGCGGACGCAATATCACGATAACGTTCGATGATATAGTTAGTAATGAAGAAGTCTGGCTTGCTGAGCCGCTCCGTATCACACAAACCCACCACGGCTTGCAGGTGACTTCTATAGGCTACCATCCTGCTACTGAATCTAATGGGTTTTATCATTGTAAACTTTTGTCTCCATTCCGAGTACTGGAGTACATATATGTGGACAGTTTAAAGCCACACCCATCAATATAGACCTCTTGTCTTTTAAAGCGAGCAGTGGGTATGACCGACGGAGTTTTTCTTCCATTTTTCGTAAATGCATAGTATATATTCTAAATATCTATACCATGTGGGAACAGTGTTAAAATTTGGGCAACCATTTCACACCACTCACCGATTATTTCATTGTTTCATCTTGGATACCTTTCGATGTCTTCATTCTCATTATCTTGCTATGAAACTTTAAAGGCAAAACTTACAGTAAGAAGTTTGTTTATTATGACAAGAACCATACGAACCAATGATAATTTAAAACGACTGGATTTGTGTGCATTGCCATTACCCTTCACTAATAATCAATATATAGCGACCTGATAGCTGTTTTAGTAGTGGTTTTACCACAGATTTAACATCTGGAATGCAGTATACCGCCGAGCATCCATACCATCAATCGATGGATTTCCAGTATTTGCAAATAGGTGTGCACATATCTTGTAATGTTTGTCTTTTAAAGCAAACTCTTTATTGATTTTATTTCCCCTTGACTAGCATCGTTTCAGAACATTGGCAACAATGTAAATGTGCTTCTATCTATCTTTGTTTCTAAAATTCTTTACAGGTGTTTGTTTGATATTTCATATCTAAAATCACATTATTTCGTGGGAATTATCGCTGCTGAATATAATCTCTATGAAACTAAACCCAGTAATGACCATTTCGGCCGAATGAGTGTTTTTTCAACACCATTTGAAAATAATCAATACAATGCAGACATTGGTTGTAAATGGCTTTTTTATGTTAACAACATTCTGAAAACATCGCCTTTCCCAAGCTATTAGTGGAATGAATCGATCAACAATAATACACATACTGTCATTAAAATATAAATAATTTTCGACGATTTTAACCCATTTTGCTCCCTGGTGTTATTCTTAGTACTACCTGATTCTTTTGATAATTTAATAAACTAAGCTTTAACTCAGCATCATACGTTAATTTCAGTTTTGGTTACGACCTATTTCTTTTTTAAAAAGTGACCTACAATTTCGTTTAGGAACAAACAAACGAAAGAAATTACAATAAATGGTATATAGAATTCCGTGACTTCTGTGTCCAATACTTATGCTGCGTGCAACAGACTCTACCTAAGATCAAGATGTAGCCCTGACGTAGAAAACCAAAATAACTCTCGATTTTGGTCTGTTATATCCTGAGTTGTTTTATCATCAATGTGATCCAAATGCATGTTTGATTCTGCCCAAATACCACTTTGCGTGAGAAGGCGGTAACGCTTATTCCATGCATACCGTCACAGATAAAATGTCATTGGTAGTGCTTAGGTTTCGTTCTAATGGTTATCCGATTTACGGCTGGATTTTACCTTGTGAGCGATTTAAGCCACATTAATATATGCGATTTTGCTCCTTAAACAGAGCAATGCATTCATTTAAAAGTTGCTTGCAAACACAATACTAAAAGTATTTGCCAAAGAAACAAAGAAGGCAATATATGAGCTGCAGCACCCTTTCCCGTATCAAGAACGGGGTTGGTATCAGCTATGTTATATAAAACCTCCTCGGGAGAAGATTTCAAAGTTAAGCCGCCTACTTTGTACTTCCAATTATGTCCAGCCAAATGGGTTCCAAGCTCGAACATTGAGGCAGTGATTCTAACAACCATCGGTGATTCCCAAGTCAAGTACAAAACGCCTTGCTCTGGAGGTCTGGTGATAGCAACGCAGGCACCTGCCTCGCCATTGCAGTGGACCGATTCCACGGAGGCCCACGTTGGTTCGTGGAGAGCTAGTTCCTGCTTGTAAATGTATGCACCGCACAGCCAGGACTGAGCACCATCCGTGGTCCAACATAACCCACCAGGGCGGTGGACGAAGCTGTTGCTCCCATGGTTGGAGGTGTATGTTTTTGCTGTTACTACACACTGCTTACCGTTAAGACAGGAGACACTGGTCCAATACGGAAAGGAAAACCAACACAAATCATCATCCTTTTTGCACTGAATTAAATCGGACTCAACGGCAGATTTAAAATTGGTGCTACGTTTCCAAGAACTCCCAGCGTCCTGCGAGAAATATATTGTTTTATTAGTTATTACAATACACAACTTTCCATTACAAACGATTTGCTTCAAATTTTCAGTTGCGTTCAGGATTCTCTCTGATCGGATCACCGGATTCGAGGTCACTCCCCATTTTTCCACATGGTATAAAACACCCTCTTTACCAACAGCAAGAATCCTGCCGTCGTAGGTGACTGCTATGTCGTTTAAAGCAACCGTTTCATTCAGTGGTGCATGCTGTGACAAATTAACGGATTCTATCGAGTTCCACTGTGATTGGAAACGATGCACAAAATATGGCGGTTCCAGTATTGCACAGAACGTAGCATTGACCTTACAATCTATTCGACGTCCTGGGCTTTGAAGGGTTGGATTTAGGAGTCGGGTCTCCTGGAGCACCTTAAAGGTCTTAAACGAGTCTTTAGTATGAATGACAGAGGCATTGATGCAGCATTTCTTGCTTGTTCCAATACGGGTCAACTCAGTAGAGTTGGTGCCTCGGCTGATTGCGTAGCATTCCTCGGAGTTTCTCGTTGGGCAGACAATATCTTCGAACGCCAAGCAGATGTCAGGACCACGCTCCGAATCAAAACTGCCTGACGAGTTATATACAGCAGAATACTGTATGCCATCGTATACTATGAAGAATCCGCCAGAACTGGCAGGGAAACAGAACAGTAACCCAAGTAAAATTGGCAGATTCATATTAAACGCTGCGTTTCTCCAAGAGACGGAATCTCAGATTCTGTGAATTCTGTTGCACGACCGTTTATCCACCACTGACACGGAAAACAAATCGATATACTATGGTGTGCTAGTGCATTTAGCCAGGGGTCTATCTGCCCTAGATGCTGCTGAGAACCAGTAGAGTTTTATCGATCGATAGGTTTACATCACCCATATATATATGGAAACTGGCAATACTATGCTCTTTGCACCATTCCTTGTTCCGATATTTTATCATTTGCGGGTGGTCTTATGTGGGGTTTTTTCCACTGTAACAAGTAACCAACCTATGAATATGAATAGAATGGTGATGGTATTATACTATTAACGGTAATGCTACAGATAGTGTCCCGCTGACTGTAGTCATCCTTCTAAATAGAGCACAGTATTCCAATGTGAAAAATAAAATTTATCAGATGAGTGTATTTGTAAAAGAAAACATTTGTAAAGTTTTCAACTCAAACATCATTTGCGCACTTGTGTCTCTAGAAGGGGCTTTCCCTTGAAACTGGTCATTCATCATAAACGGATCTTTTCTATCATATCATATCATATCTTATAAGATACAGTTTGTACTTGACGGGGGATACAAAAATGAGACTGGAATACAACATGCATCATTTCGATGTGAACAAATCAGTTGCTTCCTTATTTGTAAGTGGTGATAAGCATGGGTTTGAAAGAAAGCTCATTTCAATATATTTTATAGAATAATAACTTTCAATTTCAATCCAGTAGATCAGCGATGAAACTGGACAAGATCTGCCCATGGAGTCGTGTTGCTAGAACAGGGAGCGTAGACTACGGAAAGCACACGTTTTTCTGGAAGGGAATGTTCTTTCCTGCGCCAAAGAGAATGCGTTTGATTAATAAATGCAGTAATACTTACATTTAAGACCATATTCCTATCCACTGGCAAAACTGACGTTAAGATGCTTTTACAATTTAGTTTTAAAAATCATAATTTTTTGCTAAGATGACAAAACAATTTTCTGGCCCTTGAGTTCAATTTTTGCACATGGTTTTAATTATCTCACCATTGTCACAGACTACTTCGGAAATCATATGGAAGACATCCAAGTTTGTTCTTTTAGAGTTAAATCAAGTAGCTATGGTAAGCCAGAGACCCGAGTAGTTTTTTAAGGCTATTCAACTAAATGCGCCAAGGTAAGGGTTACTACATTTGACAAAGAAATTGCAACTGACAGGATGAAAGATGAAAATATCTTCATAAACTTGGCTTTTATAAACGTACAAATGGCCTCCTCAGATCACACTTGAATTACAAAATCAAAACATCAACAACGATATAGGTAAAAGCTGTTTACTATCTATAGTAGAGATTCTTCTAACCAATTGAGATACTGTAAAATGTCTACAAATGTCACAGATGGTGAAGTAAACTAATATTTAAGATAAGACATTAAAACGATGTTAAAAACATGTTAGTGTCTGATAGAAGTATTTAAATGTTTACACACTAGGTACTTTCTTTCCTTTAATAAGATGTATTCATTTAAGTCCAGTTTATCAGAGTTAAAACAAAAGTTTCTTCAGTGTCCAGATCTTTTATATTTGATAGTCCAATGGCGTTTCCAAGTGAATCTTCCAAAGTTTCTTTAACTAAAAGCCCTGTCCATACACATTTACTATATTATGTGCAAGGGCAGGCTGAACTTGCACAAGCCTGTATTTATAGAGAAAAGAATATGTATAGTTTATACAAGTTTCTCTTATCTATGAGGATCATCTGCATGGAATCCACTGGCAGCTTGAGCTTGTTGTAAGGAAGCACTGGAATGGCCAGTTATAAGTGGTATGTGGAGGGTGCAGCCAATTGTCAGATACAATACATAACCCACACTGTTCACAGTTTTGTCACTGAAACGAGAATTAAAAATAGTGTCACTCAAGTATTTTTAACCACTAGAGATAAGAACTGGGCAAAACATACAAGGTAGAACCATAAATAAAACAGGTTAAAAACATTTCTATATATATATATATAACCTAAACTGCATCAAAAATCTTTTTGCAAAGGTTTACATGTTTTAAAATTTCACAACCTTATGTTTGAATAAGAAAACGAGGCAAATCAAGTTGTAAGAAATTTTCAATTCAAACATCAGAAACATCATCCATGAAATCATCTCTGTGGGCAATATTTCAATAATTTCCACACCTGACACAGGCACAAAAATACACATGCAAAGCATAAAATTACAACAGTATGTCATTAATAAAACCCTGAAATAGAGCAAAAACTGGTGATATGTAAATTAGGTGCTTAAACTATCACTGTTCAAACCCACACATAGCTGTGAAAAAATGTCATAATACCTAGTCAAAAAAGTCTATCTAGTAACATTTACTGGAAACTCTGCTCTATTAGATGCTGTTAATATCACACTGTGTTCAAATGGGACATTTTGATCAATTCATCAAAAGACATTGAAAAAACATGTATATAAATGCACACATTAAACCAATGCAATCTAGGCACGCATTTGAAAAGTGACCGATGCATTCAACACATCAAATCAATGCCATCTATAGAACAAAACTCTCCATGCATCTTCTCTTTGTAGCCCCCGCACTGAAAATAATACAAAACAGTGTCAACCGCCACTGAAAAAATAATCATTCATTATAGAATGGAAAAAAAAAACATGAACTGGGTTAATAACAGATAAACTGCTAGGTCAAACTCCATGCAGAACAACATGAGGTGGAAGATATCAATTAAAAAAATCACGCTGGCTGTGGAAGAGGTCATGCTGCTTGCCATGCTGTCACTCCTGTCACCTTATTCTTCCTCCTCCTCCTCCTCTTCCTCCTCTTCTTCTTCTTCATGCTGTTCCGGTTCTGGTTCCGGCTCTGGTTCTGGCTCAGGTTCTGGCTCTTTTGGAGGAGACTTGGCCTTCGGTCTGGGCCGCGACCTAATGTCACTTGGATCTTGTGCCTTCTTCTTTGGATGTTTTTTAGCTAATTTTTCATTAATTTTTTTCACTTCACCTTCAGAAGGGAAAAATGTAAATTTATCTGTAGAATTAAAGGCCTTTTTGCGATCTGTGTAAGATCTGCCATCTGTATGTCGCTCATATTTACTGCAAAGTTGGATCTTGGGCTAAAAATAAAAGATAAGTGAATATCATTAATAGTTTTCACACCATACCTTTGAAAACATCTTCAATTTATCTGCAAAACTTCTTCGGTCCAAATTTTTCTCATACTTGCTTGCCAAAGGAACTTTGGGCTGCAAAATATTTCAGGGAGAAAACATTGCATGCATTAAAGTTCACAATTCTATCAAATTTGAACTCAACTTTATAACTTTAATAAGTTTTACCAGTTTCAAATCCTTTGTTTAAAAACTGTAATCATTTATGCCCAATTTCTAATCTGGGGATATTCAATACATTCACATACTTACCGGGATACCAGAGTACTTGTCAGCTAATTTATCATGCCTAGAATAAAGTTATTATATTCAAATTATTTTATCTTACATAACCACATTTCATAAACAATGGAACATATGTTATATATTTTCAAAAATTCAAAGCAAATTAAATCTTGCTGACTATTTGATATGGAACTGAAGGCTTTTTATATTACACATACATTGTGCTATCAGTCATAGTGAGATTCATAATGGTGTAGTTTATATTTAAAAGACAAAATTGACTACAGATGTTGTCTCTTCTGTCCCACCACAGTGTGTGTGTGTGTGTGTGTGTGTGTGTTCATAAATCATATACAACAACAAATGATCCCTGACACTAATGCTACTTCTGCAACATGCAATGTTATATATAAACTACACAAAGGGCGACTGCAAAGACTGGGCTGTACTGCTGTGCATTCCATGCATTAACAAGTCACACAGACTTCTGAGGCCTGGGGTGCAAAATGGGAAAACAAATGCTGACAGTGGTACAGAAAATGCAGTCCACTCTAGTTAAAAACACTAGCAGATCTAAGATTTTACAGGGTGTGGGTATGTGTATGTGTGTGCATGTGGGGGTGGGAGGGGGGTGGGAGGGGGGTGGGGGTTGGAGTGGGGGACAGATAGCAAGCATGGTCTCACATTTACATTTCTAAATACAATAATACTAGTGGTGAACCAAAATATAAATGACAAATTCATATTACAATGTCATGCAAACTGAACAGATTTCAATATAGGTTTATCAAGGTATGAACTAAGGTTGCTGATGTCAAACACAAGAATGCAAATGTTGCAAGTTTTGGTGGTGAAACTGATGAGCAGAGACATATAGTACAGAAATAATTTTTTAGATGGTGCAGTGTATTTACTCAAAGTGTTTTAGAGTGGTGTATGTGAAAACACAGGAGAAGTAATGAGGAGGGGAGGGGCTGTGATGAGATTGAGGATGAAAAACCAGTGGAACACTTTGTTGCAGCAGTGGGGACAGTGCATGCTGAAGGTGGGGTACAAACTAGTTCACAATCCAACTATCTACATTTTTGAGAGGGTCTTTAAAGGAACAGTTCCCCAAAACACAATATGAGGGCATAGTCAGACAGGTTTTCAACTTATACCATATCAGAATTTAAAACACAACACCAAATTACCATGGGTTCTATCATTGGGCACTCTCAATACATACTTCTGGTGGTGTGTTTCATACTTTAAAATGGTTTAAATTCAAAACATGTCTTAATGGTGACTTTGGTGCAGTTAGGTCAACTTGGCCTAGTCTCACAACATGGAGGAGGGAGAGGTGGTCATGCATGCCTACTTACTCAGTCTGGACAGCACCCTTCTTTTTCCTATAAAATATAGTTTAGTTAATAAATTAGTAAATGTACATTAATTGTTCTAGTAGATTAGATTAGATAATGACAGTCCTGACTAGGATCATCTCAATCCATAAGTGCCAGAACAGTCTGCTCTTTACAAAGCCTGACAGCCTCAAGTAACATAAGCCCAATCTGACGCCCAGTAAGTGATATATCTTCACAGGCAATCTCAGTTGCCACTCAATGTTGAACCTCTTCTGAGATTCAACATGCAAGCCAAGGTGTCAGACAATGTAAATACTGCCAGGAAAATGTCTATCAGCCCTAAGAGCTGGGTTCTTGTCAGGGACTCACACTATTCCCCTGGGAATCACCCTGACACTCACGGGTTGGTGGGGGCTCTTCTGGTCTTCTCCACTAACATGCAAACAAGGACACAATAAAAGACTTGTATATGTGAAGTGCAAGAAACAAGGTACTGGACTAGTTTTAGCACTTTTTTCTGATGTATTCAAGTGATAACATCAGTCACCTAATTCTCAGAGCCAAATCAATGAATTCTTGTCATTATCCCAACAAAATTATTTTCACCATGTAAATGGAAGAAAATGATATATTACTGTGCCTATAGATGCACATGTAGGAACTTTTGTAAGCAACAGAATATAAAAAATGTTTAGCCATAAACTATGAAAAATATTGTTCTGTGTCACAAAATTTGTGGAATTATCTTATGAAAATTTACTTTACATGTTGATTCAGCTGGCTGTTATAGTATTAAAGAAAATGAATCTAGGATATCTTAAACAAACAATATAATGACTTAAATGCTCTCTTCAAGAAAAGTTGACTTATTCCTCTCTATTCTGGTTGTTTATGGGCAACAGCTTGTCAAACTGAATGCTTTCATCTAGTTTCAAAACAATCTTCAAAGAAATCTAGCTGTTCATCACATCAATGAGAGGAAAATACTAGAAGCACCATATGAAGTCAATGGTGACAGTGATTTATGACCTTAATTGATATACATGTTTTTAACAAACAAAATGCAATAAATTCATTCATCTTCAAATTATTGCTTATATCTTCTTCCTTTTTAAATATTTAAAACAAAAAAAAATTGCTGTAAATTCCTTATCAAGATAGCCATTATAAGGAATCAGCTGTCTCACTTAACACAAATAAAACATTATCTATATATTCGTAATGTTCCCTAAGGAATCTTTCAGCAGGCATAATGTAATGAAACAAGTGATCTCACCCCTTGTTCATCTGTCTGGCTCTTTCTGCAAGCTCCATCATCTGGAATTAATAACAAAAATCTTAGTAATGAATACCACAATGAAATATGCATAGAATTCTGCAGGTAAACACCTTGCAAGCTCCATCTTACTGCATATACAGAACACCTACTGGTTTCCTTATTTCAAGCCCCTTTTCATTAGATGATGTTGCCTGGCGTTAAAAAGATCATGTCAAAAATTTAACTCTTCACGTTTCAAAAAACTCTTTTCCAAAGAGATTCAGCTCTTATCTATTAAACTGCATTAAAAAGGGTGATGAGATGATTCAGAATTTAATGCTTGATCAAGGTTCTTCAATTTTTTATAATTTCTCATAGACCACCGTCAAATAGTATGCCCAAAAGGACAAGATCAAAAACAAAAATAAATAAATACTTTCAGAAACATAGAGATTAATGCTTGATGTATCATAATTGATCTTCATATGATATCATCAACACAAACAATCTCCAGTTCGACCCTGTCTCTACTCACATCATACTGTTGCCTCTTGAAGCGCTCTTCCAGATCATATTTTTCACTCTCCAAGTTGTAAATCTTCTGGTGGATTTCCTTGGCTTTGGCAATCAACTGCTCAATATTCAAGGATTCAATGGACAGAGGCTCAATTCTCTGTTTGAGAATAGCTCTCTTTTCCTCCTCCAACTGTTCCTTGGACTTGGACATGTCCTCTTTCGCCCGGACCACATTTCCCATCTGAAATAACACAAACATTGTGAGGTTCATATGTATCTTCTATTGACTATTCCTTTTTTCTTACAAGCACAAGACAATTAGCAGAATTTTTTTTCAATCATTTCAGTGTGAATAAATTATTTACCCATGTGTTTAAAAATAAAAATACATACAAAATTTTAGAGAACCTTGCAAGATTGTATGACTACACAAAAACTTGAACATTTTTTTATTACTCATGGCAAAATTTATAAATGCAAGTGATCAAAGCTTGACTGCTGAAATTTAAATATAGTATCATGTAATTGTTTAATTTTTTTATGATCATCTAATATCTGAACCAATTTAGGACTTAAATATATCAAAATATATGCTACACTTGTATTTATCCATATAAATGTCACTGTTATAGATATGTTTCCAGATTTGTAAAGACTCTTTAAATAATTTCTTCAAAACAGTTTTCAAAACCAACCTCTTCTTTATACATTTAACCCTATCAAAACGTAGAGTAAAAACATTCTAGGAGCAAAATTTATGAACATTTCTTTAAACTTTTGAATATTTTTTCACTTTCCCCTTTTTTTTCATTTATTTAGTAAGTAACAGGTTCTTTAAAAAATACCAGAGCTGACATGCTACAAGAAAGTTTAAAAAATTCACCATCCTTGAACAAGGATATGTCAATCATGCACATCCAGGTAGCTTCATTAAGCAGCCAATAATAGGCCCTCTGATTGGCAAAACATTCATGTTCTAAGCCTGGCTGGGAATATATTGGGGCAGATCCAGGGCAAGGTAACATAACACTTCACCCCATCTACCATTATAAACAATCTGGATCTTTAGTTTAACAACATTAAGTTGCTGGAGTTAAAATATACTGTGTAGAAATTCCTCTATATTTTCTTCTATTAAAACAAAATCTGACCATCAAACGGGGTGAATAGGCCAATAACTACTTTATCTACAGCTAGCTATCTTGAGGAGAAGCAATATTACTACACCTGTCTGACGACCTCCATATTTGGTGTCGGCTGGAAATAGCCAAGTTTCCTACAGGCACAGGTACCCAACACACAACTGACGCCCAGCAGAGTACACACAAATTTATAATGCTGTTTTACTCTAAAATTCCTTAATACTTATATCAAAACCACATTTGAAGAAAAAAGTAAAAGTCAAGGAAAGAATCTGACCTTTGGGTACCCCCCATCTTCCCCACTTAACTTGTGTGCCAAAAATGGTAATCAGTATGAAGCTGGCAAGTGCAATTCTGCTTTTCAGGGGAGGAAGGTCTTGGGTTGTTTCTTAACCTGGTAACTGCCTGCTAGATGTGTTGTCACATAAATTTTTGAGGATATAATTCCATTAACAATGTTTAAATGATTCTTAAATATAACCATTTATGTTACCTTTATTTCAACCTAAGTCTCTAAAATGTGTTAATTTATCATAAAAGAGTTAATAGGAAAAACACCCCTACTATTCTTTCTGGCATTCTGGTTTTGATAAAAACTATATGTATGGCCTAACGTAAACACCGACAAAGCACACTCATATTTGAATGATTAAATATTCAAAAGAGCAATCAAATATCATAACAAGTGTGTCACTGGGTGCATAATTACTACCAGAAAACTACTACAGCTATATTAAACACATACCTTAGCTTCCAGAGACATCTTGCTGGAAGTGTGTGTAACTCAAAACTAGAACTGCCTGTATACTTAAAGTAATGACTTAAAATCTTGATGATAGTGAATTGGAAGCCCAAGTCCTCGAAATGAACAGTGTGATCTTTATGTATACACAGTCAGGCTGCACCCCAGGTTAGGATATCTAAGATCCCAAATGCACAGCAGAAATTTAATGTTTTTTTAGGTATAGTCAGGAGGCGTAAACTATGATGTCAGATTAAGTTTTATGGCCTAAATATATAAGGTAAAGGCTGATAAGGAGAATACCACAGTAAGGTTGTATGTGATTCCTGTATATGTGTCATGGGGGGTGGAGGGGGTGGGGGGGGGGGCAGAGTTGTAGGTGTTCAACTAATCTTATCTCATTTCAAAAAATTCCAACAAGATATTTTCAGTTTAAATAGGCAATGAAACATTGTGACCAACCAATATATCTTATAGTCAAATTTGATATTTACTATAACTATTTCCTAATCTAATTCATAGAGAGTTAACAGCATCCAAAGGACCCTAGTTAGCATGCCTCTACATTTCACAAAACATAAGAGCATAAAAATCATTTTCACAGAGTAAATGGATCAATTAATATATCACACACTAATGGTTGCAGTATCTGAAAAGTAAAGTATGATATCAGTGCAGAACTTCTCCTGCTGTAGGCATTCCTGGAGGATCACATGGTTCTGGACTACCTGGATTAGCACAGGAAACTTGATCAGGTGGAGGGTTGCCTCACAGATGTGAGGAGCCATCAGTTTCTGACAACCTGTAAGCTGTACACAGCCCCTTTCATCATTTTATCATTTACTTCTGCCCTTGTCAATGCATCACAAAGAAATAAATTCTGAATAATCCAATACTGCACTAGGAGGAGCTTGTTTAATAAGTGATAGTGGCTGAAATATTTTCGCTGCAGAAAATAATAAAAGACATCAGTCAATTTCCTGTTAATTATAGTAACTTGTGTTCAGAAATTAGACACTTCTGTTCAACAATTTGTTTATATCTCTTCCATCCACAAATTCCATGCTGCACAGTTCTTTTCTGTTGTGATAGCTGATGATGATCTTTCCTCACTTTTTAAGGAAAATTTAAGGTGAAAGGTTAGCTGCTCCAAAATCTTCATGAATCCTCAAAAACCATATGGCATATTACTTCTGATTAAACCAAAGGCTAATTTCTATTGCATCATTCTTGTTTCTGAATAACTAATATATACAAGATAATGAAAGGAAAAAAATGACACTTTCTTGTGTATTTCTAGCAAGACAAAGCTGCAAGTGATTCTATATGGAGAAAAAGAACAATACAGAAAAAAATCATTCAGATGAAAAAGAGCACCAATATGATTCCTTCAGCAATTACTTCAAAATTGGTAAATCCATATCAACTTTGTCTCAACAAAAAAGTTTTCAGAAACACACCACAAAAACATTCAAAAGGTTTTTTAGTCTTTGAATGAAACCCTTAAACAAGGATTTTAAAAAATGAAAATACAAAAAGAACTTACGAGTTCCGCCATGATTCTGCCTGCCTACAGAACTGATTCCAGACAAACTCACAATCCAGAGGCAACTTGCAAAATGGCTCAGCCCTCAGCTGATGTTTCTGTTTGTTTCGACTAATTTGTCATCCAATCATAAATTACAACTTGTTTGATGTTAATGTTATCATTGTAACCAGAACAGGGACTTACTACCTGTTAATTCTAGCCAAAGACATGTATAAGAAAAATAATTAAAGAAATACAGAGTCTGGGCTAATTTATTTAACTTAATAACCACTCTGGGGCATATGCAAGTTTAGTTTTCAAGAGATATAAGATGCCAGCAGACCTTTCAGACAACTACAAGGATATACCCCTCCTTCCTATATTAAATTCCCTGCCATTAATCTTTGTGCTCTCTTCTGTTTGGGGCTCCATAAGATGCCATGTGTAAGGACCCCCTTTCTTTTCACCAAACTGATCAATTTTATATCAGGTTCAAACTGAAGCCTTGTAAGGGTTAATTCAATTATCGCTACTAACATATTTATTCCTTCGCAATATTTTTTCTTTCTCAATTTTTTTCCACACAAAAAAAAAGAAACATTTTGTTTTTTGGTAAAACAAAAACATTGCAGACTAAAATCATCTTCTGCCCCCTCTTGATAGTCTCTTCCCCTTAATCTGTATTCAGTCTGTTTATCCACACCCTGGCGGTAAAAGGTTCTTAATTCTCTGCCAAATGGGCATTACTGGGAACTCCTTGGAATATAAACTATGCTAACTTAAAGAAAATAAGAGCCAACACAGTGAAAATGTTTTACAAATAGAAGATCCAAAATTGTGAATGTGCAATAATTTATAACTGATGGAGGACAAAAATAATAATAATTATTATTATTATAATGCAGAGATATATGCTAAACCTTTTATATCTTGAATATTCCTTCAGAAAAGTTTAAGACATAGTTTACTCTCACAACAAAAAAAAAAGAGAACAGATAACCCTTTAGTTTCTATCCCTAAAAACTACTGACAGAAGCATAAAGTCTTCACATTGTGTACAAGTTAACAACCTCCAGCAGGTGTCTAATCATAAATATAACCAGTACCTGTAAGCTTACGCAACTGTTCCCACTAAGCACAGAAAGATATAATAAATAATGAATTGGAATTTATCATTTATGTAAATACTGTTGATTTTGTAGTACTCAAAGGTGGCAGTCTAAATCACTGAAAGAAACTATAAATGTATTCTAGTTCTGACATTTTACATTTTTTCAAGTACAAAAAAGCATGGGAGGCAATGTGAAACAGCATCTTTTATTAATTTTCTTGAGGGAGCCAAAATCACAAGACTAACGGTATAGCAGCTTACCAAAATTCTCTCTCAAAATTCCCACAAGTGTTTGCAAAAATGATTAATTGTGCTAGAGAAGATAAGTTGATTGGTTCAGACAACTGGTGGAGAAACATGCTTCACACTGTGGTTGATGAGACAAAGTGATTGTAGAAACACAATTGAATATGAATTAAATATGAGATCTGGCATGGGAATAATTAAGACTCGACCTGTCCAATACAGCCAGTAAATTTGCAATTAACTCCCTTCTGGTAAAAAGCAATATGACTTGCAACCATAAATCAAAATTCACAGATTAACCCTCACATACAGTCTGTATAAATAAAATTTTTGCAGTGAATCTCTCTCCTAAAAAGATATATTTTGTCCATCTTTTACATCGCTTATATGCCTTACAATGTGTTATTTCTCCTGGAGTGACGGTTCTCCTCATAGCTGTGGATTTTGGCAATTTCCAAGGGTGTCTAGGGATTGTGGACACTTTTGGAATAATATGCAGCATTTTGAATTGGAAAAAATACTTATGTTATCCCACAGTAAATCTATTCCTTCCACGTAAACTTAGGGAAGAATTGGGGGGGGGGAATACACATTCAAATAATACCATTTACTCACATCATCACTTTCATCATGATTCTCACTAGTAGATCGTCTATTGACGATAAAGTTTGGTTTGTTGACCATTTCTTCAGCTTCCATTTTCCTTTTTTCTTCTGCCTGGCGTCGTCTCTCCATTTCTTCCCTTTTGATTCTTCTTCTTTCCTCCTTAAAATAAACGGTATATTGCTGAAGAGGTGGAAAGATTGGCCAACATTTATTTAAATATAGTCAAGATGTGGTCATACTTATTATATAATGTTATGCTGTATAAGAACAGCCTACACCAATGCACTGAACCCAATGTTAACATGTTAACCCAATTCTAGCACAATATTTATTTTGAGGTCACTTTTGTAAATATTTTTCAAGCAGAAGCATCAGAAAAACAGCCCTAACTGTAACATGTCTGGCTAATTTACAAATACATCTATAAATGTAAAAGGCCTATAGGTAAAGACGAGACTGTACACCTATGAGAATTTGTCTCAGTCTGAAATATTTCTGTTGGCTCAAAATGACATGAGACGAGTCTGGTGAATGACATACAGTCTAAAAAACACACATTTTATGAAAGCTTGTACATGAATGACATACAGTCTAAAGGACACACACATTTCATGAAAGCTTTTTTTTTTTACATGGTTGCCTAGACTAGATTAAATATGTTTTTCAAATGATGCATTTGGAAAAAAAAACATGAACCATATGATAACCTCAACACACCTCCTCTTCCCTCCTCTTTCTTTCTTCTGCCTTTTTTTTCTCTGCCAGTCTTTTTTCTTCTTCTGCTCGTTCTTGTTTGCGACGTTCCTTAAAAGGAAAAGAAATCAAAGCTCAATAAGGTAGCCAAATGTTCAACCAGATTTATTCAATGAAAATAAGTATTTACAAAAAATCTTTATCCATGCAATTTATATTCACCACTTTTTTATCTCTACATCCAAAGATTTTCCACTAAGAGAAAGGCCTCCATTGGGCATGTCAATATTTGGAAGTACAGTAAAATGTATCTTTCAATTTAAAACAACAGTTTCTCCAAAATAAATAAATAAATAAATAAATAAATAAATAAATAAATAAATAAAAATAAAAAATAAAATAAAATAAAACTCTTGTGTTCAGAAAGATCTAAGCCACCACTCAACTCACCTGCCTTTCCCTTAATTCTCTCAGGTCTGCCTCACATTTCTGCATCTCCAATCTGTTGAGTTCCTCTGTTTCAGCTAAACATCTCAGATCTTCCTCCTCTCTCTTGCGTCTTGTTTCCTATGTAACAATTCAAATGAATAAAAATTACTTTATTATAAACTCATGAAAAAAAATGTAAAATTAATGTTTGATAATCATCATTTTTTCACATCTTCAATTTAGAAAGTGTTCACTAGCTTCACAAGCAGTGTTAAAAAAGTTCTTACCACTGATACCTACCTCTATCAACTTTTCTGCCTCCCATTTCTGCTCTTCTTCATTGGGCTCAGAAGATCTGAATAATTCAATTTTGTTCATATAAATTTTGGGTATTTGTTAAAACTATCCTGGCACATGCAAATTTTGCCCATTGCTAAAGATGATTTTGCTTTAACTGAAAAAAAAGTGATAATAACATCTGATTTGATTTTCAAATGTATCGATGATTCGATGAAATATAAATAAGTGGACAAGAATGAAATCATCTATAAATCCAGATATCTTATAAAAGATGTATATGCTCTCTGAATACAAAACCTGGAACAAATCTTTTATTTGTTGCATAACAAGCTATGGTTTGAATAAATATTACAAAACAGAAGACCCTAAAAAATTCATTTGATATATCATAAATGCTTGCATGAAATAGATATAGCATCATTATATGATATCATGGAATGTATTCTTAGTAAAAATATTTTGAGATGTATATTTTCACAAAACACACACACATGCACGTACACACAAGTAAGCAATATTTTTCAAAACCAAATGTCATTCATCTTGCTTGCTTTCATTTCTTATATACAAGTACTGATATCTGGAGAGGGGAAAACAAACAACAAGATGTGTAGTTATTATTGACAAAACTGAATAAAAAAGATCAACTAAAAGGGTGCAAATAATAGCAAACTTAATTCATTGAAGTGACTGGAATGTGCTTCCTTGATGTTGTTTATCATCACTAGCCCAGATCCGTGTGGTTTCCAGTGTTAACATGAGTGAACAAAGGGGCTTGTGGTATTTTGTTACAAGCATGCAAGGCTATTTTGCATTTCATTTAAACACTTGTCTTTTCAAACAATAATACATAATATGGTTCTGACCGTAAATGAAATACAACAATTAACAACACATACATGCAAATGTCCTTTGGTCAAAACGCAATGTTATGTTGTATCATAAGATCCTTGCAGGCACTACTTCTCTGACAGAGGGGGAAAAAAAACGCACAAACACAGTGCAACAAACATGCCTTCAAACTAACAAACCTGTATCTGCATCATCTGCTGTCCTTAATAACATCTGTACAAATGTCCAAGGCAGAAAAGAAAAATTTGAGACAAAGGAAACTTTGGGATGGGTGAGAAATAAACGTGAATGAGCATTTTTAATAAACTTTTCAAAATTATTAGTGAAATATTACATTTCTGTCAAAGTATCTTTTGAAAAAAGTTTCCCTTATAGAAGTATAATGAAAGTATTTTTTCTTGTTTTATCATCAATGATAAAAACTCAAAAACTCAAAATTGTTCCTTACATAATCGTTACATATTCTGGGAAAACAAGAAGAAATGTAATTCTTAACTACTATATCAAAGACAAAAAGTGGCCACAAACAGTAATAGGATAAAAATTTTTCCCTCTTTATGAAAAAACAAAACAATATTTAACACTAAAAAATTTAGACAAAAACCCTCACTAACCTGCTTCGGACACTCCTTCTTGGTGAGTGACCTCTGAAAAAAACAGTCAGGTAGAGAGAGGAGAATTAATTAGTTTAGGAAAACGGTTAATCTGAGCTCTGAACTCACAAACAAAGCTCTTTTATCAAGCAGGAAAATGACATGCAGAATGACATTTGAAAATTTGTATATTAAAAGATGAGAAGAAATATTCTCAATTTAGTAACTGTATCAATGTTTACAGTGAGTAATCATTTGTCAATGTCCAAAGTCTTAATAGTGCTTTAAGCACAAAAATCCTTTAAGAACATATACGTAATGTTAGCGCGAGATGACATACAGAACAGAGGGTGGGATCAGTACAAAAATGTTTTATTATCATAGAACTAATTTTAATAAAGAAATGCACTAACAGATATACACAATACAATACAATACAATACAATACAATACAATACAATACAATACAATTCAATACAATACAATAGAATACAATACACTCTGGGGTAGCGCTAACACTCGCCAATTTAGCCAAATGCTAAAACTGACTTAAATTGGCTAAAGAAAAAAGGCTTGATTTGACATGTTTTAGCCAAATTATAACCATTTTGATAACAAATTGACAAATATTTGGTGATTGGGCTAAGTGAAAAAAATTGCTAGCGCTACCCCAGACACTAGTAGTGGGACACAATACCACCAAATAATTACATGGGCAAAAACATTGGTAGGTGGTAAAAAATATTTTAAAAGACATCACAAGAAGCATACACAGGTGTCAATTTATGAGTGAAAATAGGATTGAAGATAAATATGCAAACCACGGCATCAACACAATCTAGATTCTTTTTAGCATCGTTTTCAAACTCCACTTACTCCTCATGTCCAGGGGAAGACACATGGCGGAGATTTTTCTTCCATTCATCTGCCATGGCTTGACTTCAGTCTCTCGGGGTTTACAACAGAGGACTTCCTGGAAGAGAAGAAACTGAATAAATCATAACCATTCAAAGCTTCAACTTAAAATTTAAAACTCTTGCCTGCAATTGCTTCCCTACAATGCCATAGCTACCATACCTACTCTTCCTAATGGCAGCAGATAAGGTATGTACCTTAAACAAAAATTATTTTAAAAATACAATGATGTACTAGGGTTATCAAAAAGTTAAAATCTAAATATTTCAGGTACTTGCACAGGTGCATGCAAATTGAACATTAATTGGATAAGCGCTCCTTGTCTGAGCAAAACCACAGTAATAATAATCAAGCAGTATAGTCAAGCCTTCATGTCAGCTAGATCATGTATAGAGATCATGGAGTTGTGAAGACTACGTGTTGCACTTGGAATATCAAACACCGGAGTTAAGTAATATTCATACTATTCTGTAGACAAGCATGTGGCCTTTAAAAAATTTTAATTGATAGTAGGAGCCTTTAAATGTCAAATTTATAGTGGCAGCATAGAGTGCCACTCCCTTGCGGGCATGATTTTAAAAAATGAGAGGGCAAGGCAGACCACTGAGTGCCCCCCCCCCCCCCCTCACACAATCTTCCATCTGTCTTGACATCCTCCAATGATCCTTCTACACAGCTTGAAGCAATCTTCAGATCTCTTTCAAATAATGCATGTTTTTCTTTTCATTACTACTAGGTTTCAAATACTTTTCATTCCTTGGAATTCTAGTTTTTATGTAAAACCCCCTCAACCTGCAAATGTTTTTTATGCACATTTTTAACAGTAAACGTAAACCAGTGTTCAGTAGACTAAATATAGAACGAGGTTTGTTCTTGCACATACTCTCTCTCATACATGTCCTTGGAACTAAAAAACAGGATTTAGCATGTAGTAGAAGTTCATTCAGCATCAAATAGGGTAACACCTACAGTCCCAATGGTTATATTTGTCAGCAAACAAGTCCCAGTTTGTCGATGTGATTAAAAATGGCGTCAAATCACCATACACCTGAAGATACCTCTCCAATTACCTTTCATTCAAGGCTTTAGGGACATACTTCACCCTTGCTGGGAGATTGGTGGGAGGCATGAATTATTTCTTGATTTTATTTGACATTTCATAACCCCAGCATAAACTTAACATTCCCTCTCTCAAATTTTGTTTGCATTTAATGGGGAGGTCTGAAGACACCTGACACTTAAGGGGGGTCATATGCCTCTCATTAACACTACTTTTATGGTAGGGTCTGTGTAGAGAGAGACCAAACAGAAGAAATCTTAACCTGTGTATCTAATGTTACATTTCATTAGCAGTGTTGCCAACTCCATAGGTCTTGAGCTATGTTCAGATACAATTAGGGCTTTCTAAGTCAGAAAACAGATGAAAACTGCATCCTCAGACAACAATATCACAAAATCTTTCTAAGCTAATGGTTCTTATAAGAGTCTTTTGTTAAATCTGCTGGTGTATTTCAAATGAAGATTTAGAAAAAAGTTACAAGAAGTCTTTAACATAATTTCTTTGCGAGTCCTATAGACAGTTTCAACACAATAGGCCCAGAACATATTTCTAATCCATAACATATATGTTTCACATATGGTGAAATATCTACGCTATTTGCTCACGGTTAGGTATATGTATTTTAAAAACAAATAAATTTGCACAATAAATTTGCTCTGGCAACTTGAATGTCTTGTTTTTTTTCTGTGTGTTAGGGAAATGCTTTATACCTAGATTGTATACCTTGTACATTAGTTATACCAACACAATGATAAGTAACTTTAAACCCACATAAGATCCACTAGTATAATAAATTTTGACATTTTATTAGTTTGCTAATTTGAATTTATATTAAAGCAATAATAACTCTTCGTTTCGGCCAAAAAATGAATTTTCCTGGAGTAAACAACAATTTTCCCATACTTACCAATGGTTAATGAATCCATTTTTACATTCAAAGTTATTCCCTGGTTTTTTTCTAA